TTGGCGTATTAGTGACTTTTCCAAAAATAAAACAAAGAAGCCTATTCAAGAATTTTCGTCGAAGGTGATAACTTGACTTGACTCGACTCCATTCATTTTTGTATGGTTAAACGTAATTCCACAGTAGACACTGCCACAACTTATACCGTGTATATACTACTTGCAGTACATTGTACTCAAAACCGATTCACTAATAATTGTACAATATCTTATTAGAGATCATGTTCAGAATTTAAATATTAAAATCATAATATAGTAAGACTATGATTTATAATCTAATTGTTTGTGCTAAATGCTAATGTCGTCCTTGTACCACCGATTCAATTCACAGAACGTATATTATTAGCACAAAAAGAAATGAAAATAGATTGTGGACTTACGCATCTAGAAGTAGAAGTTAGAAACTATGAGAGTTATACGACCATTTCAACACATAATTAAAGGGTAAATTTTAATTAGATATGGGACAATATGTAAAGAAATTTCTTTTTTTTCCCATTTTAGTCAACACGTAAAGAAATTATATGAGATGGAACATTCGAATAATCTATAAAAGGAAATGGTTTCCCCAAACTTGGTTCTCATTCAACCAACATTTTTTAACTCATTTCAAAGGGGACAAAGAAAGAGCGAGAGAGAGTCAGAGAGGATGGAATCTCAAAAACAAGAAAGAGAGGTGAAGAAGATGAAGAGGGTCACTAAGATCATAGCCCTTGCATCCATTTTCTCTTTGATACTATCTTACTCTTCCTTAATCTCTTCTCTTCAACAAAAACTCCATTTGGCTTCCATGCTTGTGGACAAGAAATACATGTTCTTGTTATGCAATGGCATTGTGGCCTTTATCATGAGGAATTTCGAAACCCTTTTGCACGGTAATGCCATTCACATCGTTGAAGAAACTAAAGACGAGAAGATCAAAGACATGAGAAAATCTGAAGTGAAGAAAGTAGTGGCACTACCCGGAGAACAAAGTGCTTCCAAAGAAGAAGAAGAAGATGAAGATGAAAGTGTTGGTCTTTTAAGAGGAGAAGAAGAAAATACATTGGCTAATGTTGAGGATGATGATGATGAGGGTATGTTAGTTCAAGATCTAGCTCTCATCAGAATAGATGATGATGATGATGACGATTATAGTTTGTTAAGTTCCGAAGATTTGAACAAGAAATGTGAGGATTTCATCAGGAAGGTGAAAGCTGAGATCAGAATCGAGTCTAGGAAGTTGACTAGTTTTTAGAAACTTTTTTTGTGTAGAGTTCAACAAAACCGTCTTGTAAAAGCAGAGAAGTTTATAAATTTCTCTTTTTGGTGCAACTTTATAGTAAAAAGGGATAAAAATTAAGAACAAAAACCAAACATTAAGCAACAAGAGCACAATGCAAAAGCATAAAAACTTGTTAAGTATCTTGCAACAGTAAGGTTTTTATCACCATTTACTTCTGTAAACTCAGAAGCCAAGCGTCTCAAATTGAAAAATACAAGCCATGAAAAAGGTAAATAAAAAAGTAAAAACACAGAAACAAACAAGAGCTCTTAGATCCTATCGATATCCTCGTCCTCAAACTCAACATAGTCATCAACGTTATTATCATCATCCTCATCGAGATCACCACCGATACCTTCGTTGAGACGAGTGCTCTCAGGGAGCTCACCATAAGCCTTGAGAAGCCTCGCTTCATCGGACATGTACTTGAGGATGACATCAGCCTTGTCGTCTTGGTAGTCTCTCAGACCAACAAGCACTATGTCCCCCGCTGCGATCCAGACCTTCTTGTGCATCTTCCCTCGGATATGGCAGAGACGTTTCGTGCCGTCGATGCACATGGCTTCGCACCTTCCGTTGCCAAGCATACGCATGACTTGCGCGTACTCTTGTCCGTCTTCTTTGAATATCAGCTCCCTCTTCTCGTCATCCGCTTCGTTCTTTCCTCTCTTCCTGTTCTTTCCTCCCTTTCCTTTGTTCTTCGGCATCGTCTCTGCAAATGATACAGTAGCTTTAGTTCAATGTTCTGTCTTCTTCAAACATGCAAATCAAAACTAAACAACACTCTCAAACTAGAGAGCCAAGACAGAGCAGGCAAATCAAAAAGCAGATACCTAAACACTAACAGATTCGATTAAATCGAAACCCAATAAATCACAGAAATTGAATTCGGATTAAGCAATATTTCGAATAAAAATCCAGACTTTTTTCACAAATCAGGCGGGACCAAACAATTTCTGATGAACGAAGATCAATCGGAGAAAGAGAGAGAGAGCTACGTCGCCGACTCAATAACTGAAACCCTAAATCTAGAGCATAAGGGAATCGAGAATCGAATTGAATAGAGACAGAAGGCGAGGGCTCACCAGTAAGAAGCGATCAAAGTCTGGAAATGAAGCGTAGAAGAAGAAACCCTTCGACGAGGATAAGAGAGATTCAACAAATTCCTCTTTTTTTTTTTTGTTGTTCTCTCTTTCGGATTTGGATCAACGTTTATCTCTAAAGCTGCGTGCGGCTGCGAAATAGTCTCTCGATCTCTCCAGAAATTATGTGTTTGTTATATAGTACACGTATTTTAATTCCCCTTCGTTTTAGGTTTTATTACCGAACCATACCACTCTCTCAATCACTATCGGATTTCTAATACCACACGGAATAGGTCTATCCAAATCGGTTTGGTGAAGCTGATTCGGTTATTGTAAAAGAAAATCAATCTAAAACAGAAATTCATTTCGGTTTGGTTTTTCCGTAGCGAGTAATTCGAATTTTGATTGATTGCATCACTACAGTATCGTTTAAAATTAGTTACTTTTGCTAAACTGGTTCATATATACAGTACATATATATTCGGGTCTGGTTTGAGTAATTCGATACACTAATTGTTTTGTACTGTACGGGTTACGTAAAAATTTGGTTTCGGTTCGAGTTGGATACATTTTGGTTCGGTTCGGTTCGGTTCGGTTAGAGTAGACTGTACACACCAAAAATAAATTAATTTTTGTTGTCACATGTCAATTTTTTTTCTTTTTCGGATCCTATCGTCGTCTCTCACAGTCTCGTAGCTGAGAGTAAAGAGAGAAACCTCTGTAAAACCCTTTTCTTTATCCGATAACACAACAATGCAGCTTTCGGTTCCAATTTCGCCTTCCAAAATCTCTCCGATTTTCCCTTTCCTCAATCGCCATGGCCCTCCTGCGATTCACCAGCTCGCCGCGCAGATACAGAGCCACCGCGCCAGTTTCGTGAGCCCCGTCAAAGTCTCCGGCTACTTCTCATCGATTAGCCGAGCAATCGAGGAGGAAGAAGAGTACCGGAAGGCGCGCGCCGCCGTGAATCGGAAAGGCGTCGAATTGGAGAGCTACGCCATCGAGGGGATCTCCGTCGGTGGCCACGAGACCTGCGTCATCGTCCCTGAGCTCAAATGCGTCTTTGATATCGGAAGGTGCCCTTCACGCGCTATCCAGCAGAAGTTCCTTTTCATCACTCACGCCCATCTCGATCACATCGTGAGCTCAACAATCTCTCTCTTTCGATACACTCTTGTTCAAAATCAACATTGTTCAATGGATAAGGATTGGGATTTCACTGGAACCCTAATCAGATTCTCTGATTTTGCTTGAGTGAATTTGAGGTTTTTAGATGAATCTTGTTTTCTTATTGATTCAGATATGGTTTATCTTTGTGAGCTGATGATGATGATACTTTTGTAACCTCAGGGAGGACTACCAATGTATGTAGCTAGCCGTGGATTATACAATCTTGAGCCACCGAAGATATTCGTGCCACCGTCCATTAAAGACGATGTGGAGAAGCTCCTTCAGATTCACAGGACTATGGGTCAAGTAGAGCTCAACGTTGAGCTGATACCTCTCGATGTAGGTAATGACTTTGTGAAAGAGCCTTTTGAGTAGTTTTTCTGTTTAAAGTTAGATAGAGCAAAATCTGAGCTCTGTGTTGGCTGGTAGGTGAAACATATGAGTTGCGGAATGACATTGTTGTTAGACCATTTGCCACGCACCATGTCATACCGAGCCAGGTACTACTACTACTACACACACGTCCCAGGTTATTGTGGATTTTGTCTGTTTCTAACGATTGGCTTCTCTTAGGGTTATGTCATCTACTCGGTGAGGAACAAGTTGAAGAAGCAGTATGGTCACCTCAAAGGGAAACAGATTGAGAAGATTAAGAAGTCTGGCGTTGAGGTTTGTTCCCTTATTAAAGCCGTTTTTGCCAAGTGATGTGAACAGGGGAAGTTTTTTTGATGATATTGAGGTTAATTGCAGATTACAGACATGATATTGTCCCCTGAGATAGCTTTCACTGGAGATACAACTGCAGAGTATATGCTTGATCCTCGTAACGCTGATGCGTTGAGAGCAAAAGTTCTTATAACGGAGGTGAGTTTCTGAATCTTTTTGGTGTGGTTGTGTATCATTTGCTTCAGATGATAGCTTCTGAGCTTAATCTATCTGGCAGGCAACGTTCTTGGATGAAAGTTTTAGCAATGAGCATGCGCAGTCACTCGGTCACACTCATATATCTCAGGTATGATCAATCATATCTATGTTCAAGCACTCGTACTAGTAGAACTAAACTGTAATATGCATTTTTCCACGAACAAATTGCAGATCATTGAGAATGCAAAGTGGATCCGGAGCAAAACTGTATTGTTGACGCATTTCTCATCTCGTTACCATGTAGAGGTAATAGTCTCATTTGACTTCTTGTTTTGATCCCTTATCATGTATTTAAGCATATACTTATGGTTGCAATATGCAGGAGATTCGCGAAGCTGTGCTTAAGCTGCAAGCAAAAGTATCCGCAAAGGTTATTCCACTTACAGAAGGTTTCAGGTCAAGATATTCTTGAAAGGGCTCAGAGGATATTGCAAGCAAGAGTAGGGATATTTGGAACATCTTTCTCTGTAATTTTATATAGGGGACTCGCTAATGTAAGTTATCATTAAGTAAAAAAGTGTTTTTCTACTCAACCAAGGAAAGATCCATACAAAACTTTAGATAGAAGCAAAGAGCAAAGATGCATTTGTTCCACCAAAGCCAAAAGAATTGGACATTGCGGTCTTAACGAGCATTTCTGTTGAAGTGGTTAAAGGCATGAAAGTCTGGTCGAAGATGGGATCTGGATTCTTGATATTCAGTGTCAGAGGAGCAACACCCTACAAAGTTTTTGCAGGTTGTGGTTAAACTACAAACTCTAGATCATCAAAGAAGAACACACGGACTGAGAAATGAGAAGGCGCTTACGTGATGTATAGTAAGGATGCTGAAAATAGCTTCCACAGCTCCAGCTGCTCCAAGAAGATGACCAGTAGCTCCCTTCAGTCAAAAGAAGCCAATAGTGTATTTAGAGACAACAAAGATGATGCCACAACAGTGTACTGAAGTTTAGTAAGTCAAAATCTTCAGTAACACCATCTGAGTAAGAAGCATCAAGCATTTGTACCTTGGTGGAGGAGAATGCCAAGGAGCCTGAAGTAGCATGTTCGGAGAAAACGGTTTTAATAGCCTTTGCTTCAACGGCATCGCCTAGAAATTGGATTTGTAACAGAGTGAGCAATTCAGATTTTTTGTAATACCAAAGAGAACCAACAAGAAAGTCTCAATCTTTTTTACCTATTGGGGTTGATGTAGCATGTGCGTTTACATAATCAACTTGGTTTGGACACAGACCAGACTGCAAAGTCATGGACATTCAAACCAAATCATTAGAATTCAATCTACTAAAAGGCAAAAAAAAAACATAAATGATCATCAACACAAAACGTTCTAGGAGTACCATAGGTCCATAACCATGGCCGATAACTGATAATATGGAGCGTACCTGTCTTAAGGCTCGTGTCATAGCCAAAACAGCTCCCTTTCCATCTTCAGGAGGTTGAGTAATATGGTGTGCATCGCCTAAAAATATCAAGAGAAGTCATTCTTATGAAACTCAAAATGTGTTTTAGGATTATCTACTGAATGCAAAGTTTGCTTTACTATTCTATCAATGAACTTAACCTGACATCCCATATCCACAAAGCTCAGCATAAATTTTTGCTCCGCGTCTTTTTGCATGCTCAAATTCCTATTGTTAAAGCCAGAAACCAGAAAAGAATATCTTAGATTTTAAACTAAGAAAACAGCTAAGAGAGGATGACTATCCAAGACTCAAGAGTCTCACCTCCAATACTATAACCCCTGAACCTTCCCCTATCCTGAAACCAAATAAAAAGAAATGGCATAAACATCTCAAAAATATTTTTTTTCGATGTAAAAAACAAAAAATGTGACTCACACAAAACCATCCCGGTCACAATCAAAAGGCCGTGAAGCTTCTTGCGGTGAAGAATTGAACTTAGTTGACAAAGCCCTTGATCTGAACATAAAAAAGTTCAAAACTTCATTAAGAAATTTTTGTTTGTTGTACCAGTGCCTAGTTAATAAAACGGACATTAGTAATCTGCTGACACTGAGACCATATATATGCCTTTTGTTTTCCAGAAAGAAAGGATCAATTTATGTAAGCAGACAAAGCGTGTGAGACCGAGCATTGATTACCTAGAGAATCCAGCAACAGATAGAGCATCAATGCTGGACTCAGTTCCACCTGCTACCATAACATCTGCATCTCCAAACTGAATCATCCTAGTGGCATCGCCTATAGAATGCGCACCAGTTGCGCAAGCTGTCACGGCAGCATGGTTTGGCCCCTATATTCAAGACACGAAATGGAGTAGAAAAGTATGTTCAAATCCCATTCAAGACCATTTACCACAACTTGCCACTAAAACTCCTATTTTATAACTCTAAGCCAACCACCATTGAATAACCAAAGATGTACATACTTGTTTTGCATAAAAGAAATTGCAAATTCAACGCACCTGGAATCCATACTTCATGCTCACATGACCAGAAGCCATGTTTACCAATATTTTTGGGATGAAAAACGGACTAAGCCGCCGCAGCCTCTGCATCACCAAAGTAACAATTCAGTCTTACAAGCAATGACACAGTCCTTACAAACAATTGTAATTCCGGAGAAAATGATGCAAAGATAACAGAAAGTTCTAACCTTTTCACATATCATCTGCGCTGCCTCCACAATGTCACTTATACTTCCGATTCCACCGCCAATAGAGACTCCCTGGTTTCCCAAAATCTCCAAAATTATAGAAAACAAACTACAAAAATCATAAGAAACACATATGAGGATCACTTAACTGTTCTTTCTTTATCTCCCTCTTCGGTTGGTAACCACTCTGCATCTCTCAAGGCTTCATCAGCAGCACATAAAGCATATCCAATGAACTTCGCAATCGCCTCCACGATCCAAAATGCACGACAATACAATTTATTCATATCTGACAAACCATATCAAGCTTCCAAAAGAACAGAAAATGAATAATCCACATCAAGCTTCCCCAAAAAAACATCAATAAGCAATGTTTCTAGTAACCTTCAAAGCCAGTTTCTTTCGAGAAGCACAGAGAAGAAAGAGATTGAGCTAAAGATACCTTGGAGTTTAGCCAAAGCCCTTCATCAAATTCACCTGGGTTTGATCCATGAGGCACAAAGGCAGCAACGTTAGAGGAAAGCTGATCAAAAGTATACAACTTTGTCTCTTCATCAAACGAATTCATCTTGAGATCATCAGGAGTTAATCCTCTAACCCCACATTCTCCATCAATCAAACGCTTCCATGTTGTCTCAACGCCTCGTCCAAGTGGAGTCACCATGCCTAGACCTGAAGGAACAATGTTAAAAATCAGAGGAGTTACAGGTATATAAGTGTGAAGACATGGAAAATTTTGGAGGGAGACTTGGAGACCAGTGACAACAACACGACGGTGTGAAGGAGAAGAAGAGGATGTAGAGATGAAGCGGCTCAAGGAGAGGCGATTTGGGTTCAAGTGTCTACGAAGGATAAAGGTCGCCATTGAAGAGCACGGAGCTAACAAAGTCCACTTTCCGGCGGCGGTGATAGAGAGGAGATTCAGGGATTTTTCAAGTTTTTACGACTGTAACCAGTAGCCTGGGCATTTCGGGTTTTGGGACATGAATGGAAAATTCGGGAAATCAAATATGATTCCCGAAGTATTCCTTTATTATAACGGAATAGGAAACTACGGAAATGGGAAAGGAATCGGAATTTTGGGAATCAAAAAACAATATTCGAAGTCTTAATAAATCGGGAAAATTGAAGATAATATGGAAAATTACGGGAAAAATACGGGAAATATGAGAAAATATGGGAAATTATGGGAAAATTCGGGAAAATATGGGAAAAATTAGGATATTTAAGAAAAAATATCTAATTTTTAATTTTTAATTTTGTAAACGGGAAAATCGCGAAATCTCTTACCCTTCTCTTACCCTTCCTTTACCCTTTTGAATAAAATAAATGTTCCCAAAAAGGGAAATTGCAAATTCCCATTCCCGAAAAATTCGGGAATTTTTAAACGGGTAAGCGTGAGAACGGAATTCCCGTCCCGAAATGCCCAGGACTAGTAACTAGATGAGAACGAAAAAGAAAACCGGTTCGATTGTTTACTTAACCGATGGTTAAGCCAGAAATATAATTGTTAAATCGTGGGAATGATAGTAAACCAGCACTTGTGTTTAAAAGACATTTCAAAGTTTTAAACTCAACTGTTTTTTACTTTTTTTTACTAAAATTTGGTTATTAATTTTTTTTATTTAATGTTTGAAATGCGTACGAAAGTGCTCAGTTAATTAATCTATACTGATAGATTATAAAAAAAAAAAGCTCACTTAGTGTACTGGAAGATAATAACTAAATTCCAGAATTTAAATTCCTTAATAATTCTAAATAATCGAACTCAAATAACTTTTTTTTTAGGTAAAGTTTTTTTATTATATAATTAACTAGATTAAGACCCGCGTATACGCGGGTTTATTTTAAGATTTTGTAATAAAATCATGGAAAAGTATTAAACCAAATTTGATCATTTTAAAGTAAACAGAATAATATTAAAAACCCGATAAAAATATTTAAATAAAATAAGATCGGTAACCTTTTTACGTTTTTATTGTAATTGATATTTTTTTGAATTCATGATATAAAAAATGAATTAATTTGTTTTATTTTTATTTTTATCCAATATAGAAAGACTTATATATGTCTAAATATGATCAACTGATTAATTAATTCAACAAAACTTTATTATTCCATTCAAGAGATTTCAATTGATGAAATCTTTATTTAATAATTTTTTACCTAACAATATTGAAAATATATTAAACTATTTAAAATTAGAATATCGGTTCATTATATTTTCTTAATATTAGTTAGTTGCTTGATAATTAATTTGTTAGTTTTCTATTTATATTGTTTCTTTCTCAATTTTGTTTTTGACTCAGACCATTATAAATTTTCATTTTCATTATTAGTTAGTTTTTTATTATCATTATTTTATTACACATATCGCAATTTTGTGAGTTATAAAAATCATACGTATTGCTATCATGTTGTTTGCTTTGATGAGTTTGTGAATGAGAAAAAAAAGACTACTTTAACTCTCTTTTTATAGGGGTTCATGTAACTTATTCCATGCAGTTATAGGAAATTTAGTTTACCTAACCTATTTCATGTACTAATAGGATTTTATTTATTTCATTAATTTGAATCTTATATGTGTTTGGATAATATAAATTTGATGAATGAGAAACCTTTTTCTATTAGGATATGACAAATATAATTTTTTTTTCTTTTAACTATAAAAGATTAACTAAACCTAACCTATTTCATGTACTAATAGGATTTTATTTATTTCATTAATTTGAATCTTATATGTGTTTGGATAATATAAATTTGATGAATGAGAAACCTTTTTCTATTAGGATATGAAAATATAATTTTTTTTTCTTTTAACTATAAAAGATTAAAATTTCGTTTTTTTTTCCTTTATCTAATTTTTTTTAATTATTATTTTTTTCTTTTTTTCTAAGACACATGTCACGATCTTAACGGACATAACATTAAAAGTGACACATGTCGCAATCCTAAATTTTATAAAAATCCTACGTGTCGCAACCACATCGCACATCCAGCTTTATATAATAAGATATTTAAGTATTTTTTTGCCGTGTAAATCTTTGTTCTATTCTTAATAATATGTATATAAATTATTGTAATACGGAATTATAATTCACTTTTTCTCTATGTGCATAAAATCACAATTTTTTTTTAGATTTTATTTAGTAATAATAAAAGAAAAGACAAATAATTTTTTTGACAGTAACTTAGTACTAGATATTTAATCACTTCTCATTTTTTTTTGAATATATATTTCTTTTCAACGGTTTATGCAAGATTATACTAATTCGAAAAAATTTCTATTTAGATTTGAAATCGCGTGCTTTTTTATTGTCTCGAGGACGTGTTATTCGGTTATTCTTATATCATCTTCCCACAAAACTGTTTCCACCGATGGAGGGACGAGATCAAACAAATGAAAACCTAAAGGAAGAGAGAACACGTGGTTTGCTAGCCCATCAGACAAGCAATTCGTCTCCCAAAACACATTGGAAACACGGACAGACCAGTCCTTTCGATATATAGCCATGACACAATCACACCATGAAAGATAAGGGATGAGCAGGATTGATCCCTCTCTTCAGAAAACCGACTACTAACTCCGAGTCCACTTTAAGCTCCAGATGTGACACCTTCTTCTCCCATGCTACTACCAGCCCGTAATACACACCCAACAGCTCTGCTAAAGGCGCAGTACAGCGGCCAATATTCAAAGCGAAACTCCCCATCCATCGACCATCTCCATCTCTAATCACTCCCCCTGCTGTTGCCGGACCCAAATTACCATGTGAGGCACCATCCGTGTTCAACTTAAACCACCCAGCAGCCGGGACTTTCCATCCAATGTGTCTTACCTCTCTGGGCCTCTCACTTCCTTTCGCACCCAACAACTGGTTGGCTCCCCACACTTCCGCTGCCAACTCCATAACAAATTGGACTCTATCTCTACACGGACAATTCTCTCCAAACACGTTTCCAAAACGCCACTTCCATCCCCACCACACGGCCATTGAAAAAGTAGTTGACCACGGGACAGTTGCGACTGTAACTCCCGGCTGCAGGTTCTCGTACAGCCACACCAACAAAGTTTTATCAAAGAAGTAAACCAGCACTTGTTGCACTAAGAAAAAAAGAGTAAGCCAGCACATTTTTTATCTCAGTGTTTCAGAAATTTGAAACCTAGTATCTAAATACTTTCAGTTTTCAATCAACAACGTGAGTGTATTGAAACACTGCAAATTAAATAGTTTGAAAAAGAGCTCAAACGAGTAATCTCAAGTGTAACGCAATTAGCTTATTAGCAACACAAGTGAGGCTACCCTACACAATATGATCATTCCTTGTTATGCCTTGTCCTCTGCATTCTCATCAGGCTGAGCACGTTTTGGAGTCCAAAACAAACATTACCAAATGAAGACAGAGAATAGTCATATCACATTCAAATTCGAAGAAAATAAGTTTTACTCCCAAGTTATCATCCTCAGGTTCATCACCGTGGTTATCATCGTTTTCATCACCTTGTTCACCGTTGTCTCCCTCACAGGCATGTGGCTCAGCTTCAAAACGCTAGTAGTGAATTGTTTACATGGTTTCACAAATTGTTAATTTCCCGATGGCCATGAATTGTTTACATGGCTCAGCTTCAAAAATTCACAAATAAGTCATCATACTCATAACTATTAGATTAAGGCCATGAATTGTTTACATGGTTTTACTTTTTAATTTCTGAATTTTGGTTTTTGAATTTAAAGAAGGAGGCAACAAGATTATTAAGGTTTTTGTTTTTTTCATTGAAATTTTGTTTAAAAACTTCTAAAAACTAGTTTCCCTAATTTTTATGAAATATGTTACTCTAAAATTTTGAATGGGTAAAAACATAAAATTTTCAAAATAAAAAACCATAAACTAAATCAGAAACTACAAGATGAAGATTTAAAAATCATGTGTAAACCATGCAAGAGTTAATTAGCCCAAGAATGATCTATTTCATTTAAATTTTATTTTCGCCTATTTGTGATACAAAATTTTGGTTTAAAAAAGTTTGTCATAGTATCAACCGCTGTGACTGTGACTCTATGCCTGGGGACATTTGGGTAATGTTTTGGTCAAAGATTCTCAAATCACATACTGTGATTAGATAGAAATCTATTGTATATCTTTCTAATCTTTTTTATTTTTATATGTTGTGTTACTTTATCTTAGAAACATTTGGTTGTGTTATTTTACTGTATTTCTAAGACAGTTAGAGGGAGAAAAAAGTTTGCTAGAGAACCATAATATAATTTCCAATAATAATTTTATGAAATTGTTGTTGCTAATAATTTGAGGCAGGATGATCGTGATCGATTCAGGGTGCATTCACAGTGCACAATGATTTACCTGAAGGTATGGAAATTTTTTTTTTTGTACCATGCGGTACGAGATTGTTGTACCACAACAAAATCAAATTCAAAAATTTACACGTTAAAATATTATTTGTTTAATGTTTTTTTTTTTTTTTTTCAATACTACTTCCAAAAATCTTAATAATTTCATTTTGAATTTTGTAACTCCTCTAATAAGACTACTCCTATATTTAAAAAAGTTTGTCTAATGTTTTTTCATTATTAGATCAAAAATATACAAACGTTATTACTAAACAAATAAATTGGCATGCAACAAATATCTACAACATTTTATTCATAAAAGACTACGCCTAAAATAAAGAAATAACATGTTTACGAAAGGAAAGTGAAAACAAAAGGAAACTTTGTAAATCTAGAAAGAAAATCCGGTAAATCTTCATAAAAATAAAAAGGTATAATATACAAATTAGATTTTACAATTTTGTTAGATATCATATTTTACACAAATCCGAACCCGCGTGGCACGTGTCTATCCGAACCAATATTAAAGCTCAAAATCAGAGAGAGATTGAAGAAGAAGAAGGAAGAAGACAAGTCGCAATATTTTATTCTCTTTCTCACAGAAACCAAAATCTCCTCAAGAGTCTCTATCTCCCTCGTCTCCTTCCCGATTCTTCAATTTCCAATCGTTCCTATTCTAATTAACCCTAAACCCCTCGTTTTCACCGTCTTCAGATCCCTAATTCCACCTCCCTCGACAAATTCGTGATCCTTTTCTTTAATCTGATCAGTAATCGGATCTAGGGTTTTAATCAGTGATCATGAGGAAGAGAGAGAGAGAAAACCCTTGCTCGGTTTGTGGGCATTATCACAAGTACGAGGAAGGTGAAGTCTGCGGAATCTGTGGCCACCGTATGCCTGTCACTTCCGATATGGCGGCTGCTCAAGTCCACGTCAGCGCTTTTCCGTCGGAGATCTTGCCGGAGTTTCTTTACCTCGGAAGCTACGACAACGCCTCTCGCTCTGAGCTTCTCAAGACTCAGGGAATCTCTCGTGTTCTCAATGTGAGTTTTCTTTTGTCATAAATCTTCTCAATTCGTTATAGGATTAAGCTTAATTAGGCTTCAAAGTGTATGAAATTAGCTGTGTATGATTTGTTTAATCTTAATCGAGTCATTGAATTTAGGATTTTTCAATTGTAGATGAATGAATTTTCAATTATCATATACTTTGCATATCACTAGAATTGAACTTTAGCATATATGGTTTTGCTTTCTTTCTGTTTATGGTAATTGCAAAGGAATAATGTAAATTGGGTATTGACTCTGTTTTCTTTCTTTTCTTTGAACAGACGGTTCCTTTGTGCCAGAATCTCTACAGGAACTCATTCACTTACCATTGCCTTGCTGATGAAAAAGTCTTGCAATTTGATGATGCTATCCAGTTCTTAGGTTTGTATTCCTATTTCCATCTCAAAAAGCATCCATCTTTTTTGTTATTTGGCTATTTTTGGTTTAACCCATCTCTTGATTTTACTTTGTAGACCAATGCGAGAAGGACAAGGCACGTGTTCTTGTGCATTGCATGTCCGGAAAAAGCAGGTGAATTTCATTTATCATTCTTTTACTTGTGAGCTTTTGAAACTTCATTTTTTTGGTGTTGATGGATCGCTAATGTATTTCGATTACTTGACAGATCACCGGCGGTTGTTATAGCCTACTTGATGAAACGTAAAGGGTGGAGACTCGCTGAGAGTCATCAATGGGTTAAACAACGAAGACCCACAACTGACATCAATCAAGGCAAGTGACTCTTTCACTTCTTGAAACTTTTATGTCATTCTTGAAAAAACTGTTTGCTGATTTTGGTTTGTTTTCTTCTCTACACAGAGTTCTACCAACAGCTGGAGGAGTTTGAGAAGACGATATTCGGGCCAAGAGAAGGGATGATGTCGGCGATGAATATCAACGATGCTCCGACATTTGGGTTTGGTGGCGGCTTCCCTGAGGTTAATAATAACAATCAAGGTCAAGCACCTGTTGTGTTCAACAATGCTCCTGCTTCTTCTATATTTTCATCTCCTGCTTCGAGTATCCCTCCTCAAGGGTTCACTTTTGGAGCAGCTCCAGCGAAGCCAACAGCCGGAGGTGATGTTTCCATGGATGGCTCTTAAAAACCCCAAATCAGCACACTCTTGCAAGAATATCCACCAACAAACATACTGTTCTGAGAATGCTTATTTTCAGTTTTTTTTATAACTTTTGTTTTTTTTGTAAATGGAGATTGGTGCATGCTTGAGAGAGTTTGGGGGTTTAAGAGATTTACATGAGATGGAATTTTCTTGTTTTGGTGTTTTTGCATCTCTCTTTACTAAAGGAAAGCATCTTTGTCTAGTTTAATCCTCAATCTATCTTGACCTATCTCTGTCAACGTCATCCTTATCCAGCTCACAGTAGAAACTTGTCTTCTAAACGAAAATGCAAAACGACGTGGCTTTGTCCTCCAGCTCAGAGACATAGGCCCAGTTTTACTCCATTCCAACTTGAGAACAGTTTTCAAACAAAATGTTCATACATGTTCTTAAAAAGATAATAATTTGAAGTAAAAAGTTCAATTAAAGAAAAAAGACCACCTGTAGGATTTGATGTTTTGGGTGTATTTATCTCAAACAACTAAGAAAAGATAAGATCAATTGAGTACTTGTGGAAATATTATTCAAAAAATGAAATTTTATATATACTGTATATGTTAATTTTTCTTGGACAGGTGGTTGAGAATAGAAACTCTTATGTATATACAATGAATAGTGAAAAAAATCTAGAGTGATTAAATGATTCAAAATTTGGACGGCGTAGATGAATTGAGCTTCATCTGACGGCCTTTATTCACCTTGTAAATTAGGATATTTCATTTATAAATGCCTATAAATACAGGTTTTCTCTTTACCATCTCCTTCACTACTATCCATAACCCATAAATCTTACTTCAACCATTTTTGAATCGTAACTTTCATCTTCTTTTCTCCTCTTCTCCTTGTTCCTCCTTCCCTAGCTCCCAGTAGAGACTCTTGTTCTCAGTTTTTCGTCTTTTAAAAGTACAAGCTAGTTTGATTTATTATTTCACTATTTAAATTCATTTTAGATTTAGTTTTTTGTTGAGCTTTATATCCTACGTTTATACTGTGATTTAATATTTTTGTTAGTTTTTTTCTTTTGTTCATACCCATCTCATGTTTTTGCTTGTATTTCACGTTTTATTATGTTGTTTTAGATGCAGAAATAAGTTTTATGCGATCCTTTCTCTTTTCTTTATCATTCTGTATTACAGAAGACACAACAATGATGGGATGAATGGTACAATGCACTTTGAGTTTATAATTAAGTTGAACACGTCAACCATGGTATGCACTCTTCTTACTTCTATGTATGCGCATATACATCTCTATACATATATCGAATATCTTCAAACTTTTGATTCTAAGATCGGCCTTTTTCTCACTGTCTTGGATAAACCCACATTTTTATGTCTTGATTTATTCATTTTTTATTGATTCATGTATGATTTCATCATATATATATATATATATATATATATATATATGATGTATTCTTACTTGAAATATAAAAAATTAATAAATACCAATATGTCCTGAAAAAACAAATTTTGGAAGACTTGTGAAAAGTTCAACACATAGCCGGTGTCCAAAACTTTTGTTTTTTCTTCTACCGATTTTTATTTATTTTCTTCTACCAACATTATCAAATTCAAAATGTCCACATTTTAAAAAACTATAGTATATAATAGGTCTTGTTTCACCTATAAGTACCTTCATATGTAAGTAACATATGAAGGTATTTATAGGTGAAACAAGACCTAAATTATATACTCTGGTTTTAAAAATTCTGAACACTTTGAATACGAAATTAACTAGTTTACGAAGATATCTACCGACCGAAATAACGCTACAACATTAATTAACGAAAAGTAAATTAATCTTTATGGGTCAATAATAATTTTTCTAAAAATATGCTTATTAGAAACCCTAAATTCAGCTGTAAGTCTGTAACTGTAAAATACTTTACTAAAATTTGAGATGCTGCTTTCGTAAGTTTGGTATGTCGTCGGCTTCGCCATTATTGCAACTTTCTTAATTGATGTTTCACCTCCATTGTTGAATGCCTTTGAGACCAACCTTTGCGAATATTGTACGGTAGTAGTATACTAGTATGACATGACTGAAATTATGCAAGCAGAAAAGGTGATTTTATTACAATACTAGTATTTTTACAGCAGATGCATGTTTCCCTCGACCCAGAAAATATGTGAACTTATGAAATTTTGGGGCAGTCCTTAGTCCTTACAACTGATGTCTTAACCAAATGAAGAGTAGTTGTTATAGCGAGTTTTGTGAGATCATATCTACATTATCTTTAGTGACAAAGGTCTATTGGTTTCCAGAGCCGTGCTCTATATGTATTTAAAAGTGCATTTGCACTGAGCCCCCAAATTATATACTACTATAGAGGCCCCCCAATTTGTTAAAGGTTATTGTATCATAGTGGTTTTGGCATGTCATTATTAAGTATTTAACCCGAGTTCGAGCTGTGGCTGTATTTTTTTTTGGTTTTTGTCGTTTATATTCATCTAAAAAAAATTATATTGAAAGGGTCCTCTTTTTAAAAAATCTGCCATGAGCCCCCGTTAACCTTCGCACGGCACTGTTGGTTTCAAGCAACGTTTGCTCTTTTGCTTTGAAGATAAAAGAGCTGGTGAAGCATGTGTTGTGTCTGCAACAAAATCATCACTGCGACCACAGTAGCATAATTAAACAAAAAACAGTTTTACACATTACTCTCATTAACTAACTCCACATATGTATCTTTTTGAAAGAGCTAATAATGATGTGACCTTTGTATACGAACTTGCTTTAGAGAAACATCTCGTTGACGCTCAAGTGGATCTAACTACTTTTAATTTTAAGCGTCCTAAACTCTTTCCCAAGAAGCTTTCTGCACAAACAAAGACAACGTACAAATATGAATCTATATGCATGCAAATATAACTCTACTTAACACATGTATTTCCTTTTCTTCTAATTTTTTACCCGTATACATATTTGTGGATGGTGAAGGTTCTCATTTACACCCGTGAGCTTCAGATAGAATTCCAACCATTGAGGTTCAAGCACCGGTGAAATCTAAAGAATAAACGTCGCTTAATCAGCTCGAGATGTAGCAGGAAGAAAAGTCACTGAATTGTACAGATCGATAAAATCTTGGAGACAAATATTCTTGAATGACTATAACTTTAGGAGAGACGAATACAATTTGAAATCGGCAATCAAGGTATGAAAACTCAATAAACCGAATGAGAGATGTACCTAATATATAGATGTTGAACCTTTATTCGTATATTTTAGAGATTTTATTTCATTCTAAACAACATGAGTAACATGCCACTTTTCTACTCTGGTATTTGCATTTACTTTTTTTTTCTATTGAATAAGATCACATCTAACTCAAATTTTAGGTTTCAAAATTTGGAATAAGTAATTAACTACACATCTGCATTTGCCTACAAAGATTAATCAAGTAAGTACACCATGCACATAGACATCTCTTTTAAGAAATTGGTTGAAGTGCATTTGTGAAGCAAAACAATTTGGGCTACAAACTCATTCATATTTAGTCGTCTTACATCTATTTTGTTTCTAGGATTTTGGACTTAATCTATAATCTTATTCGAAAGAACATTGAAAGACGCTATGATAGTGGCGGTCGGGGCGCTATAGTTTTGGTGCTCGTTTTTTTGTGTGTGATCTTTAGCTTCTGCTACGTTGTGGATCCCGACCCTTTTCTAGATCTCTGCTAGATCCTGTTTGGTTTAGATCTACAATGTTTTTGTTTTGAAGACAGTTTCTGGTGGTTTAAATGGAATCTTGAATCTTAATCTATATTCACCGAATTTGGTAAAGATGCGTATCCTCGAGATATTGATTAATATTCATGACTCGGCCAATTCCGTACTACAAAGAAGAAATACAGATCTTCACATTTAAACCCAGAAAGATGAGCAACTACAAGTCTACAAGCCCTATAAACGCGAAGAAATCCTAGAGTTGAAGAAAGCCTAGAGATATAGAGGACGCAGTTGTGGAGCTTATATCAAATGCTAGTGATCTTCTTGAAGATGAACTCAAGGGGACGAAAACTTTAGATGTGAAACCACGCAAGAAGTGGTTTGTTAAGGAAACTTTCTCCTCAAGTAACTTAAAGATTATGAGCTAAAAAAGCAACGGCGAGATCTGAGGATGACGACGTGAGGTGGAGGTTTCCACTGTCGGTGGTTCATTGAACGTTTGTGAGTGTAGAGACAATGTATCTTATTAGGTGGCTGATGAGGTGTCAGGATTCTGAACATCCTTGCGATGATGTGGCGATGTCAAAAAAGAGGAAATTATATATAGTTAGATGATGTGGCGATGTCATCTATTCATGTGGTTATAAAGCTTTCCAAAACTAATAAAAATGGCTGGAAATTCAGGTTATAGCCGTCGTGGAAACATCATTATTTCTACTCCTGAAGAAGTTGCTACGTTCCTAATCCTGCCCCAAGTTGTTGCAGAAGGTGATTATTTAACCAAAAAAATATTTAAAAATAAATAAATTTATTTAACCCAAATTATCCGAAATAATCAAGAAATCAGAGTTATCGAATAAACCCATTTCCAGACTGAACCCAGTTAATCGAAATTTTATTTGATTTATTTCGGTGAGATTTTATACAATCTAAACATAAACCAAAAAAAATTGAAAAGAAAACAAATTCAAAGGCTATTTCTCATCTGTCCTGAACTATTTTAGAAGGTGAAGCAATGACCAAAAAAAAAGGCACAAAAATGTATTATATGCCTAAGTAGAGACACTCTGGTCTTATTTTCTGAATTTGTATAGTCATTCTTTTTTTTTTCCTCTCTCGCGTAGTCATTCTTTTATATATATAAGTAGACTTATATGCGAATATTTCGGGTCATCTCAATGGAATATCCCAGCTCGAACACACAAAATGGACAGAAAGTATGGAGGGTGAAACCACAATAATAATTAATGGCTCTATACAAAATTAATTTAGTTCAATTATTTAAATCAATTTGTTAACCTCTATATAACTACGTATCATGTGGTTAAGTTTCACATAACTACTAAAAATGGCTAAAGAACAACAAAATTCAGGTTACAGCAGTGGTGGAAACATTATTCCTACTCCTGAAGAGGCTGCTACGTTCCAGCCACAAGTTGTTGCCGAAGGTGATTCATTCTTCATTCAATTAGTAATGACTGAAATAAATCATTGCATTCAATTTTCTATATTAACAATATCGATGAAGTATTTGTATTCTTTTGCCAAAAATATATTTTATTTATTTTATTTTCGATGATAGAAAAAAACCAAAGAAGAAGAGGCGTCTATTGTAAATATGGCAAAACTTTGTAATTTAAAAACTTAATAAATAAATAAAATTAAATCAATAAATTTATAATGACGAATTGAATTATCAATTAATTACTATAAATTAACTATATTATTAGTAGATAAATATCATAATCTCAGATCTTTAATTTATAGAAATTTTACTACAATATATATGTTTCCAATAGGTGGATGGGAAAAATGTTGGGAAGACGGGATAACACCATGGGACCAAGGAAGAGCCACACCTCTTATTCTTCATCTTCTCGACTCTTCATCTCTCCCTCTTGGCCGTACTCTCGTCCCCGGCTGCGGCGGAGTTAATATCCTCTTTTTTTTTTGTTTTCTCATTTGGTTTCGTTTGAGTTCAATATTTTTTAGGTTTTATTTACATTTTGGGTTTAGAAAACTTTGTCTTTATCTTGTTATTTGTGACTGTGAGTAGGGACATGATGTAGTTGCGATGGCAAACCCCGAACGTTTCGTTGTTGGATTAGATATATCAGAGAAGGCCCTCAAGAAACCTAATGAGGTTAATCATATATATATACATGCATGGTCACATTTTTTTGTTTTGATAATTAATCACGTGAGTTTTTCTTACGTACGTTCGTCTTTAAATACTAAAAATCAGCAATTACTTTCTGTTGACTACATGTAGAGTTACGGCTCCTCTCCGAAGGCAAAGTACTTTACGTTCGTGAAGGAAGATGTTTTCACTTGGCGTCCTAATGAACGATTCGACCTCATCTTCGATTATGTGTGAGTTAATTACCCATAAAACATAATTGATGTTAGCAATATCAATACGTAACTAAAATAAAATGGATTAATATAATAAACAGGTTTTTCTGTGCCATTGAACCGGAGATGAGACCTGCATGGGCTAAATCCATGTACGAACTCTTAAACCCTAATGGCGAACTCATAACTCTCATGTATCCGGTAATTATTTTCATTTATTTTTCCTTGTAAATGTTCCATTTTATATGAAAAATCACACATTTAACACTTTGTTTTTTAATTAATTAGATTACCAACCACGATGGTGGACCTCCCTACAAAGTGGATGTAACTTCGTACGTAACTTAACCCTTCAATTTGTCTTATATACATAATTAAATTTATGACTATTGACTAGTTATAATTTTCCATATATACTTAAGAGCTTCATTAGCTAAAATGTTAATTGTACGTACGTGTGTGTGTGTGTTTTTGTGGTTTAGCTACAAAGATGTGTTGGTTCCCGTAGGATTTAAGGCAGTGTCGATCGAGGAGAACCCAGACTCCATTCCCACTCGTAAGGTATGAAACTATGAATACACTGAAATTGTGCGAGCTTCCAAATATTAATTTTATATCACAAAGTGTAATTAGTTGACATTTTATTTGGGCAATTATAGTGATAAAAATTGATTTATTATTAAAAAAAATTGATTTTTCTTTTCCGTTGTGTAGTATGAATTTATAAATTAATTAACTTCAGTTTAATCATATAAGAACTGACCATTCTTCGATCTATGATGTATTACTTTTAAACAGGGCAAAGAGATGCTTGGGAGGTGGAAGAAGACCAACTGATGATCCAAGAGAGAGAGATACAAGATATATGTGTAATCTTCTAAATTATTAAGAATAAAATGAGTAAGCTACTCTAATTACTCTATGTAATAATGTAAAATATGTATGTTTGATGTAATGATTATCCGGGGGGTGACCAGGCAGGCATCTACACAACGATTTCTCTCCTTGTTGTTGTATCCCTTGTTCCTGACTTTCGTACCGTGTTTTATAAATAAAGATATTGTGTTTCAAATTAATAAAGTTTTTCCATTTCAATTAGAGTTTTTATTTATTATTATTTTTAATTAATCTCTTGATTTGTGTCGAGTCTTTTGTCGGGTTTCATAAAATATATAATGTGATCAGACAAAGATATATAACCTTTGACAACAGAAAAAGAAGCAAGAAGAAACATGTAACAAAAACACAAATTGACGCATCTGATTCTTGCTCTCAAGGAACTGGAAACAAGAATACTGAAGCTCAGGTTCCGACACCAAGAGTTGCATCTCGAAAAGGCAAAGAGAAGCACATTAATGATGAGGGTTACACAGCCTATGAATCAAATAGGAGAAACCAGATTCTGTATGGTGAATTAATGTTTTAGCACACAAGAATGCGATGAATAAAAAAAAAAAAGAGAATGCGATGAAACATGCAAACAAAGGGATATGCCTACAAAACCCTCGTGGTACTAACTACTAACCTTGATTGTTGCTGCGTAGACAATTATTAAAGCATTGTCCCAAGATCCGATTCTGTACATCAATCACTATTACAAGATAGATTAGGGTGGATCACAACTTCTTTTGTGACATCTTCGTATCACAAAGAACTCAAACCAAAATTCTTATGCATTAGATTCAACGCAATCTAATCACTCGACTTGTTGTACATTGAGTAAAGACCAAGAACATTAGCTCAGCAAGGATGTTATTCAGATTAACACTAAGTACATTTCATAAAGAATGGCGTACTTCAGTACTATTTCAAGGATACAACATTTTTTTTGCGTATTGGCTTCAACTCTTAGCATAGCTAAGAATAGTCGAAGCTGCTAAATTGCTCGGTCAATATATCTACGAGATTCCATATCGGACGGTTGAGAACATGCCACAGATCAAACTCCCTTAATTAATCCAACGGTTAAAAACATGCAAGGCATAGCTCAATATAAAATCCACAAAGGCTCTCTCTGCAAGCCCTAATCTAGCGAGAAAGTCTTGAATTCTCTCTCGTGATCTCCAACGAACCATGAGCGAATCAAACACGATCGATTACTACTATTCCCGTAAGAACTCTCTCCATCTGTCATAGTGAACTAGCGGGATCTAATGGAGAAAACAATGGTGAATGGATATCATCATATTGTATATTTTAGTAGGTAATAATTCGTTATATGCCCAGTATTGCTATTAGCTGAACAAGGAGAGCCTTTACAACACTCATGCTTCGATATCTCACAACCTAATCCCAAAAGGTCTAAAGCTGAAGAAACAACTCTCCAGGGCTGATATCTACTCTTAAGAAGGAATGTTTAGATTCAACGTAATCTAATCACTCCACTCCTACATTGAGTTAAGACTGAACAATCCAACATGTATAAGCTCACCAACGAATGTTCTTCAGCTTAGTTATCACAATGACAAAATGTATATAACCTAAAACATTATTTGAAGCGATACAACACTTTTGGCCTCAACTCTTGGCATAGCTAAGAATAGTGGAAGCTGCTAAAGTGCTCGGTGTATATCCATGAGGTTCCAAACCATTGCAATGTAGGCTTTTTGATGGATGCAAGAGCCTTGTCAAGGTTTCAGCAGCAGCAACTTGTTTTGCTCTCATCTCTTCATCCAAGAGCAGTCTCCTACAATTTCAACACAACATCCCAAAATCAATCATCATTCTCCCATTTCTCCATAGCCGGATGATAAATTAATCTGAGGCGAGGTTAGGGAAATTAGTATTTACTCTAGTATCGAGGCGAGATTGGAAGGGTTGCAGGATTGAAACAAAGCTTCAGGAATGATTGGTGAGTCAAGGAGAATGTTAGGGAGAGATATATAAGGTATCTTGGCTTTGTAACGGATCAATAGCTCTGTTAGGAAATGTGCTCGGTAAGCGACTAAGGAAGGTAGCCGAGCTAGCTGTAGCTCAACAGCAACTGTTCCTGATGTGCATAACGCAGCCTGACTCGCCTGTTATCATTCGAAAACCGGACAATAAGAAGAAGAGACACCAAGAGAGAAAAAGAGAGAGTGAGAGATAAAGAGACTTACGCCAAATGCATCATATTTAAGCTGAGTGGATCCACTTGGGACTAGGATTGCTGGAACTGGCCACTCATGGAGGGAGTCTTTAATGTAACGATCCACTTGAGTGTTGGATGCGACGTGGATGAGAGTGACTAGCTTTGGAAACTGGTGTTTGAGTAGCTTCATTGCTTTGGCAAATATTGGTAGCATTCTTTCAACTTCTTGTAATCTGCTTCCAGGTAGCACCGAAATGACTGTGGAGTCTTTGCTAGTACTCAAGCCTTCAAGCTTCGATTCCTGAGGCTTGCACGTCCTCACCTACAGCAGCAAATTGGTACTAAGGAAACTGAGAGAGAGTATCATGGAAACAAAGATTAATCCAAGAAGAAACTGCTTACAAGGTTAAACTCAGAGGCATCCTCAAGAACAGGATGTCCAACAAAGGTTGCTTCCACGCCATGTTCCCTCAAAACCATCTCCTCGTTCGGAAGAATGCAGAGAAGATGATCAACGAACTCAGACAGACCTCCAAGTCTTGACTCTCCTCCTCTCCAAGCCCAGAACGACGGCGCCACGTAATGGAAATGCACAGGAGAAGAAGCTTCCCTCTGCTGATTGTATCTAGCTGCAAAGCCAAAAACCATTCCTCCATTGTCCTACATGATATATGAACAATCTCATTCAGGAGAACTTCTTGGCTCCCAAAAGCCATTCTCCACTACACAGTCACAAACTTGATACAATTCAAGAAACCGCGCTTATGAAGGTTCAAATTTAGCGTGTCTAAGAGGATTATGGACTAAAACCTCAGATTATTCCTAGGCACAGATTCATTTCTTGCAAGTTGTCAAGAATGTGTTACCTCGTAACTCCTTAAGAAGACGGAAAGAGAAGCCCTTTGAATCAACAGTGACAACAACGTGTGGGTTAAACATAGTCACAGCATCAATAGTCTCTTTCAACTTCACCTGGAATCTCAAAACTAAGAGTAGTAAGATTGAAGGATCTAATGTTGCTTAGATCAATAATAAACACTAAGTCAACAAAATTACTCACACGAAATTTATATAGATGTGGCAAGAGCTCCCACACACCCATCACAGCCAAATCCTCCATAGGAAACAATGGAGTCAGTCCTTGCTTGGACATCAATGATCTTATACCGTGTAAAGCATCAATTTGTTAGAAAGCAAAGATACAATTTTTCGATTGAAGAATCGGGATTTTAAGCTTAATTGGGTAAAGCCAAGCGCTTACCCTCCAATTCCGTGGAAACGGAGAGGTAAAGGAGAGAGCTTTTTGAGTGAAGCCATAAGACGAGAGCCGATGTTATCGCCGGAGACTTCGCCGGCGACGATGAAAACTCTTAGCTCTCCATCGATTGATGCCTTGTCGATCACTGGTTTAGTAGCTCGAAATGAGGAGAATCTTTTGGGGAATGTTGAGAGAGAGAAACGGAGTTTGATATTTGATGAGACTCGAAACATCTTTCCGAGAAGATACAGAGCGAAGAATGTTGACGTTGTTTGAGGTTTTAGGGACAACAGTGAGAGAGAGCAGTGATGTAGCAGGTGGCCGCCGATAATGGTGGGCTCTTATGGGCCTTCGAAGCCCACTTGTATTTTGGTTTGCAATTTCTTTTTCTTTTTATTTATTTATCTATTATATTATTAATTGAGAAGTACATTCTAATGTTTGGATACAAGAATTAGAGAAACATCTATTTGGATAGAAGAATAAATGGAAACAAAAGTTGTTTGGATATAAGAATAAGAGAAAAATCTATTTGGATAGAAGAATAAATGGAAAAAATTGTTTGGATACAAGAATAATAACTTAAAATAAACCGATGGTTTAGAAAACTTCCGTTTTCCATCTCTTAAAAATCTGCAAAAAAGAAAACTTAACATAATCTAACGATAATTCCAAATCAATAGAATATGCTTTTTGGATTTTCGGGTTTTTATAGACAAGTTCGGGTTTGGGTGAAAATCTGAGACATAATTTTATAGAGATATAGAAATTGTTCGGGTTTCTTTGAAAATTTCTGTTCGGGTTAGGTTCAATTTTTTTTTTCAGTTTAGGGTTTTCCGGATTTTTTAGATTTCTGGTTTTCGGGTTTAGATATATTAAAAAAATTGAGTATTTTAAAATTTTGATTAGGTATTGGGGTCGGGTTCCGGGTGAAAAAGTTTCCAGATTTTTTTTGTTCAGTCAGGGTTTTCGGGATTTTTTTATTTCGGATTTTCATGTTTAGACCTATTAAAAAAGTTTGGGTTTTTAAATTTTTTGATTAGGGTTTTTTGTCGGGTTCGGATTTAGGGTTTAAATTTTCTACACAAAACAACAACGTCACACCGCACAAACGTGCGGGTACTCTACTAGTTTGTTTTATCGCATAAACCTTTTAAATTTCTGTGATTTATGAAAAAGGATAGGTAGATATAGGAAGTAGGAGATAAGTAGGAGAGCTCATGAAGAATATTTTAGATGTTGAAATTGAATGGTATAGTTTCTGACACCTAATTTCTATAAGTCCTTCAGAAACTTTGATATACTGGTTTTGATAAATGGGGAGCTAAAATCAAAGTACAAACTAAACACCGGAATGTGTGAAAAGTTTGATATGATTGTAATTTAAACTATTCACAATAATGATTGCAATTGCAGTACACTTAGGCGATAATTCCCTAAATCTTATGATAAATATTTAATCCATTTGTTTACTCAAAACTTTCTATATTTTATTTATTTTCTTTTCAAAACCCAAAACTTGATCTTGCAAAATTTTCAAAGATCGAACCAACTTGATTTGATGGGATAAGCTATGACAACTCTAATCCATTATAAATATCATTTAGGGTCGACAGATCATTCCTTTCATAAACTGAAACCTAACTACAGAATTAAAATATCAACATTTCCACTTTGGTCATATACTTAACCACATAGCTAAAAATATTCAGAGTGTGAATAGCCAAAAAGGTCCAACGGTAAAAGAGTAGTATTGATGGAGCGGCAAACGAACAAACAACAAATCGTGCTGAAAATAATAATGTCACTCACCAGAATTTCTCAGCATTAATTGAAACACACAACAAACCTCTCTTTATTCAATGAAACCACATTTTTTCAAACACTCATGTTCTCTTATAAAGAGAGATACAGCTCTCCAGGAATCACACTATCACAATCAAAACCACAAATTATCAAAACTAAAAAAAAAAAATACAATATGGGACACCTCAAAAGTCTCTTCGCACTTTTATTCCTCATGATAACTATGTCACCGGACGTAACGCTTGCCGGCAAAATACCGGCCATCATCGTGTTTGGTGACTCCTCCGTTGATGCCGGGAACAACAATTATATCCCAACGGTCGCGAGAAGCAACTTTGAGCCATATGGACGTGACTTTGTTGGCGGGAAGCCGACAGGGAGGTTTTGTAACGGGAAGATTGCGACGGACTTTATGTCGGAAGCCATAGGGCTTAAACCGATCATTCCTGCATACTTGGATCCTTCTTACAACATTACAGATTTTGCAACAGGTGTCACCTTTGCTTCTGCTGCCACAGGCTATGACAACGCCACTTCTGATGTTCTGGTACGGATTTTTCTATCCTTTGTATTTATGACTTAGTATACTTTCGTATGTTACATAAATAAACACGTCGTTATAGACATTTATGATTGTTACTGACTAACAAAAAGAAGATATATAGTTGTGATTGTTGTCAAAGAAATAGGGAGACATTTATGAGAAAAAAAAAACAGATTACATAAAAATTGTGATCGTTGCCAAATTTAAATGACGAATAATTTGAAGCGGAATGAGTATTATTAGGACTTAGGAATACGTAATATCATTTTCTTATAAAAAAGTCTTGGTTTATATATTTCATGAAATCAAATTAGAATATAGTAATAAATAAGGATACAACTAATTATATATTTTTGGAATTAATATCCGTTTGTACATTTTAGTTTGATAGATAGTTTTTAAGCAACATTTGCGATAATAATGAAAAAAACATTATTGTCAGAGATTTTCTTACATCTAATATAAATTCAAATTGATGGCGATTGTAGTCGGTGTTACCTCTGTGGAAGCAACTCGAGTACTACAAAGAATATCAAACAAAACTAAAAGCATACCAAGGGAGCGACCGAGCCACAGAGACCATAGAGAACTCTCTATACCTCATAAGCATCGGTACCAACGACTTCATCGAGAACTACTTCGCCTTTCCAGGCGGCCGTTCTTCTCAGTACTCGGTTGATCGTTACCAAGATTTCCTAGCTGGAATCGCTAGAGACTTTGTGAAGAAGTTGCACGGACTTGGTGCTAGGAAGATCTCGCTAGGTGGATTGGTTCCAATGGGATGTATGCCTTTAGAGAGAGCCACCAACTTTGGCACGGGAGGTGAGTGCGTAGGACGCTTCAACGACATTGCGGTCCAGTTCAATGGTAAGCTTGAGAAGCTAGTTACCAGGCTGAGCAAAGAGCTTCCTGGTTCCATCCTCGTTTTCTCAAATCCCTATGAACCGTTTATGAAAATCATCAAGAACCCTTCCTCTTTCGGGTTTGACGTTGCGGCAGCGGCTTGCTGCGCCACGGGGATGTTCGAGATGGGGTATAGTTGTCAAAGGAACAACCCATTCACATGTACAAACGCAGACAAGTATGTGTTTTGGGACTCATTTCACCCAACACAGAAGACTCATCAGATCATGGCTAATTTTCTCATGAACAGTACATTCTCTCACTTTCTCTAATGATTTCTCTGTGTGGAGAAATGGAGAATAGTGAGGAGATTAATGTTATTACTAGGGTGTCTATATAGGGCTTGCTTCCCATATTTTTGATCCAATAATTCTGCACTTTGTATGTATTTTATTAAACTTTGCTTTTGTGATAATTAGCGAAAGCTATATATGTTTCTTTTCTAGATTATGGTATGGTTGTGCCTATTATATATAATATATTAGCTTAATTTTTTTCTTCTTCAGATATTCTTGATATATATATGTGTATATATATATATATATATATGTGTGTGTGTGTGTGTGTGTGTGTGTGTGTACATAACTAAAATTCTGAAGGCCTGTCATATTAGTTCAAATTTTTCAAACTTAAATTTGTTTTCTCAAAAGATTTGTAGTTGTGCTGCATTGTGTCTCAATTTTGAAGCGCATTTATGTTAGTAGTTCAATGTGAACGCGAAAAGAGAAAAATGGGATCCCATTCTTATCTACTAGCAAACGTTTGAGAAAATATGTTTTTATTTGGAAATATTGGTAGCCCTACAATCATAAAAATAGCGACATGCTTCGTATGTAGCATTCATATGGATATCGTACAAAATCGTGGAAAATCGTTTCTACATCTCAACCTACTAATTTAAACACTACAGTATTAAAGTGATATTTTGAAAAAGAAGGATTATCACAATTATTTGATCTTGGTCATGACGCACCAGTTGATAAAGAAACAACCATTCTTATATCTCTACCGATCCGATTACAATACCAAGACGACAACGCTTCTCCCTATTCTTGGTACAGACGACATGCTTGGGAATGTTTTGTCTGAATTAGACCGAGGAGAACCAGCTGACAAAAGGAACCAGTGGCAGTGGGTTAAGACTCACTCATGTACATGCAGAAGAGAAAGCAACATTTGGAGGTCATTCATTCAATTCAGTTATATTGAAATCTATTTTCCACACTTGTTTTTTTTTTTTTTTTTTTTTTTTTCCCATTCTCAATTAATACATATGAAGTTTTCTTAGGAAAACAACCAACATACCACAATAAATAACTTTATTTTTCAAAAATATATAGCGTTACTTGTTTAGTTTTGTTTTCTATACGTTTTCAAAAACTTCTGATTTTTGGAAGGTTTCCTATATCCTCATAAATGCTTCTAGTGTAGTATTTGTATCCTTATTTTGTTTGTTTGTCTCAAGTCCTGTTTTCTAATATTAAAAATCAATACTTGTTATAAATTAATGGAAATGGGTGAAACAACATATGATTTTGATATATGCGTATGCAGTAAAGAAAAAAAAATGGTCTTAGATATACATTCAAAGTAGGTCCATAAGATTATACCAAAAATTTGTCTAAAACTATGTAGAAAATCTATAAAAAAAAACACTTATTTATACCCAAAAAATAAGTCTAAAACGCAAGCTACATTTTAAACTGAAACAGAATGAATAATTTTTTTTTATGTATTTGCGTGCAAAACAAAGAACAACAAGTAAAACATTTAAAAGGAAACAAAAACGAGAGTGAAGTCAGTCAACAAGGAACCACACACACCTCGGGCGCAATGCGTGCCATCCTGTTTTGATAATAGCCGGCAATTTCCTTCTTTACCATTCCATCCTGTTTAAATATCTAATCACCATAGTTTTATTTTTTCATTTGTATTTGAGAACCATCATTATTACAATACTGCAATTAATCCTTTTTTTTGTTATTGGTAACCAAGCAATACTATGAATAATATTCTTAGTTTTTTTTGTACCGTTATATATGATCAATTCCGGTATTGGCGTATTGTTTTGCCGTTTCTTTTTTCCACTGAATTTTCTTTACTAATTTCTACCATATGTAATTTTTTTTTATTTGAAAGAGAGAGCATCATTAATTTTGTTTCTGTTTAGATACAGAATGTCAACCAAATGTATCATAACTCTGTGTTTTGGAACTTATGATAGGCCTTTGTCTAGTTTTCAGTTTACATGTAGTAGTAGCTCCATCAGTTAGATGTATAGACAAAACTCTATATATTTTTTACTTTTCCTTAATTATAAGTTTTTAGAAAATGAAAATATGGCTGAAAATTTTCAGTTTAAACTATTTGACTCTCGATATAACTTATTGGCCTTTTTCTTATTCGTTGGAGACTTCAACTCATGTCATTTCTACTGGAAATTTCGATTGGCATACATTTCATTCTACCTAAATAGGATTTGTCCTTTCACGTTTCAACACTTGAATATTTGTCATAAAGAAATTAAGATATACACTACTACGAATATATAATTGATATATATGTAGCGTGAATGCTCGAAATAAGGAAGACTACGTAAATGATACGGCATTAGATTTCTTCTAGTTTATAAATGAACTACGATGACATGTGTTACAATTTGCAAACTGATTTGACGTTGGACCAAACCAATTATGTAAGAAACAACGACTATAGATCAAATATAGGTATATAGCTTTTTTTCATAAAATATGGAGTATTAATATATTCTTCTTATAACACAATATATAAAGTTTAGATTAGTTAACGTTTTAAGCAAAAAAAATCTGAATTTAGTCAAAATAAAATAGCAGAAAGAAGGAAAAATAAACCAAAAACTGGGAAGGCAGCTCGATCCATCTTATTTCATGCTTGTTTGCAATATATGCAGAACAACAATAGTAAAAATTCGATGAAATAGAGCTTTTTTCTATTTCAAAAATTTGCAGATAAAAAAGAGAGAATATATAAATAAAGAAATGCCTGGCTTTCCCATGTACGCCGACGACTCATGGTAACTTTGGTTTTTCCGGCGAAACACCGAAGTAGCCTCTAAAGCACCTCCTCGGATTCATCAACGGTGAAGATGTATGAATGTAGTGGTCTCTGTATATTCGTCCATACTAGTGCTCCTTCATGTCTTCTCTTTGTCTTCATCGATGAAAAATTGTTTTTGAGAGAGACTGAGAGAAAGAGAAGAGGAGGAGAAGAACTTTTAAGACTCTTTTGGGCGTTTGTTTGCTCCACTAAGTCAAATTTTATATGTTTAGCATGCCTATTTAATGTTGATATTTAATTTAACATTGACGGAAAACAAGAAAATCTGACTCACGATTAACTAAAATACTTATTACTTTTACTTACGTGTAAGCTCATGAGTGTGAACTTTTAAACATATCTTGCGTTTTTGTAATTTTTTTTTAATTAGATGTTAATTTTAGCAACTTTATAAATAAATGATACTCTTTCCATTTCTTTTTAGTTGTCATTCTAGGTTATTTTGCATAGATTAAGAAGATAACAAAAATTATTGTTTGTTTTAATCAATATTTTCATACTTTTTATTTGATATGAGTAATTAATAAGTTAAAAGAATAAGGATAAATTTAGAAATATATTATATGTTTTCATTAAAGAAAATACAAAAATAGTAAGTCTAAAACGACAACTAAAGGAAACGAAAAAAACACTGCTAAATAAAATTCACGTGAAAAACCAAGAGTGTGTAAACACGGTTTTATTGTTTGAATATAAGAGGATTCACCATATCATTTATGCCAAGAAAAGAGTTCCACCGTTAACAAAACTGTTGAATTTCTTCGGTTTTCCCAAAAATAAAATGACGTTAAAAATCTATATAAACAGTACTAAAATATTCTTACATATAGCCAACCAAATTAGAAAACGAGAAATGAGAATTGGATGAGCATGTGCATATTAAATGTGTCTATGGCCAAAAAACCTAGGAGAACATAACAGTCATGCAGTAAAGGTCCACTCAAATTATCCCATGCGGCCAGAATTTGGAAAATAGGAAAGAAAAAAAAAGAAGAAGAGATGAATGCTCAGCTTAAGCCATTAACCAGTCTTCCAAGCAGGCTTTCGTTTCATTCGATCCTTCCGAGCAGAAAGCTCCATGGAAAACTTAACTTTCCCCTACCTTTTTGAAATCTTCTCATGAATACGAAGATGTCTTCTTGGAACGTACATGCTACAATTTCGTTCAAAAAAAAAAAAAAAAAAAAAAAACGTACATGCTATAAATTCACAAGGTACATGATAGCAAACTGTTGGATCTTTAAGTTGGATTAAGCTATATATCTTTTATGGCTGAAGGCTTGAGAAAAACTATTCACACACTGGTTGATACTTTTGTTTTTTCTTTTTCATAAAAACTCTTTTAGCCATTTCTTTTTCCTTAGTTTTCGTCTTGTTTTGTGTCTTTTAGTAATTGCAACTGCGTTTGCTTTTGTGCCTTTTGGGGCTATTAGAAGCCCTGGCCTAGATTTTTGTACAATTAATTGAAGTCTTTTTAGACAAGTTTCAGGTCATATGCGACTATGCGAGAAGGGATCCACATGGCTTTATGTTTTCGAATGTAAAGTTCACTATGAGTGTTTGTTTATTCAAGTGCAACTGAAACACATAACGTAGGGTACAAAATAACAATAATAAATGGTTTAGACCTATTGCCTGGAGATCTTAGGCAACTGTATTACTGTCCATCAATGGCGATGCTCATGTTTCAGTTACGCGATCCAGCAGTGGCAAGAAACATAAGAACAAAATCTTGAGGGTGAAACCGAATGTGACTTGGAAGGAAATCATATTAATGTGGGTTTACTACATACAAATATACGTAATGAAACAAAATAAAATTTTGCATTTATTTGATATAAACACAATACCAAACGAGAATATATGATGATGATTTTCTTTGACTAAATTTATCATCTAAATAACCAAAAAAATCTACAAAACCAAATTTTGTTACGGAAACCTCATTACATATTACAAAATATCTACTACATTAAGACATGTCTATGTGTGTGTATGTATGTATGTATATCTATATAAACACACACAAGATCAGCTTTAACAAAATGAAAAAAAAAAAACACACACACACACAAGATCAACATACATTCTCAATAAAAATATTAGAAAATCATAAAGACGTAAGGTAAATCATATTATAATTAAGTATATTAAATTAAATTTTGTGGAAATGTTGAAAGTATTTTAATTAAAAAATATAAGAGATATTTCTCTTATTCTGGTCATCTCAAACATTAACATTGAACCTCTTTTCTTGTAGGTTTTCGTTTGTTGTTTTCTCTAAAAACATAACTAATGACAATCAAGAAGTGTTTTTCTCTTATAATATTTTCGTTGATGGTGTTTGCTCTCATCTTCATGCCTATGATTTCAGGTAACTCATTTATTTGTTTGACTATAATTTCTTCAAAATTATCTAAAGTTATCTTTAGAAAATTATAGTTTGCGATGTCTTGGTATTTTGCAAGACAAAAAAAGTGTTAATCTGTTTTTTTATGAATCAAACAGGAGAAGACAGATTCTGTATGGTGAATTGTTTTAACAGAAAAGAATGCGACGAAACATGCACACATTTGGGGTACGATAAAGGGGTATGCGAACAAAACCCTCAAGGTACTAACCTTGATTGTTGCTGCGAAGACAAATATAGATCTCAAGATAATTCTCCCATTTCCAGTATACATGAACCTTATTAAATAAGAGTTCATATCATATGTATCCTCTCAATTGTATCAATAAAAAATATTCATATATTACATCGATAATGTATCGTTATTCTACAGTCAAATGAACAAAAGAAAAAGAAAAAGAAAAAAACACTAAATTCAAACTATACAGATATACATTATAAGTGTAATAGTTTGCATGGATCACAACAAACGTTACACACCCACTCACCCTAGCCTTTCCTTAAATCTCTTACCCATCATTATTACGTTTTTTCATTAAAATCTCCACACATACTTAGCTTTCTTCTCCTTTCTGCCAAAACATAATTAGCTTTCTTCAACTCAAAACATCATTAAATCTCCAGCCTAAAACCTGACGCTTCTCGACTCCTCACATCTCTGTTTCGGTAAAGAAAGTTATCCTAATTTTCTCGTGTGGAATTTTGACTACAATAATAAACCACCTATAAGCACAGTATCTCTCAATATGTCAAGGCATTGTTTACTAGATTTGACCATCAAGTCGACAAGTTTTCTGATTCTGTTTTGGTAAACAAAACTAATTCTCTCAAGTCTCAAGTGAACTTTCCCTACAATAATAAACCACCTATAAGTCTATAACACATTTTGAACCAAAAAAAAAAAAAAAAAAAAAAGTCTATAACACATATCTCTCAATATGGCAAGGCATTGTATCAAACACTATTACCATACTTGATGATCTTGTCCACAAGTTTTCAAAATTAAAGATTTTATAACCTACGTAAATCTTCTCACTGATGAGCTGAGAGATCAACCAACAGAAAAATGTTGTGGAATACTGAAAGATCAACAATCATGTTTTTGTGGTTGCGCAAATAATCCACTTGTTAAACTGTTATTTTCAATTGAAATTGCTAAAAGAATTTTGGGAGCTTGTAAAATTCCTTATCCTACTTGCTAAAGTTTTAAACAATCAAAATCGTATGTAATAAAATGTTGATTATTGAGAGTTAATTACGTCAATGTTTAATCTGATTCGTAAAATGATTTTATTGAAAAAAAAATCGTTAATCTGGTTCCCCTAAACCTCACAAGTCACAATTAAGTAAATAAACCTCAAAACCGCCATTTCCTCTATGTTTTAATCGGATAAAAAACATACCGGCGATTCTGTCTCCGAACTAAATTGAATTCGCCGATAAAAAAACATGTCTCCGATTGAGAATTCGTCGTCTTGGACACTCGAATCCGACCTCGAAGATCTCGACATTGACCTCCAGGATTACGGACCATCCGTACCTCTGAAGAAAGTCCCCAACGGAGACGTTTTCGAAGCCTCACGCGCCGGTGACGTCGACAGGCTCCGGTACTTTCTCGAGACCGGAGTGAATGTTAACGCTCGTGACCGATGGGACTCCGTCGCTCTCTATTACGCTTGCCTCGCTGGCCACATCGACGCCGCGAGGATGCTTCTAGAGAACGGCGCGATTTGCTCGGAGCATACTTTCGACGGCGATCGTTGTCACTACGCTTCTCTGAACCTCAGGATTCGGAAGCTTCTCAAGGCGTTCGAAGCTCGTCCGCCTCCGCTTGGTCCCTTGCAAGCTTCTCTTAGGGAAACGTTTTTGGGATGTTGTCACAATCGGAATTATCTGAAACAAGCTTCCGATGCTAATATTGATGTGTCCGGTATGTTTTTTCCGATCATCGAATCTCATCATTTCACTCAAAATCCAGTTTTTAAGGAAAATTTGAGCTCTTTCAGTACATTGTAGTTGCATTTGCTCTTTTGAATCCAATGGATTTATCCTCTTGTGGCTGTTGGTTTGTAGGAGATGATGATTGAAGTTGAGTTCTTGAATCTGTTCACTCTTATCATTTCAGTCAAAAATCCAATTTTAAGAAGATGCTGATTAAAAGTTGAGCTCTTGAATCTGTTTACTCTGATCATTTCTGTCAAAAATCCAATTTTTAGAGGATGCTGATTGAAAAGTTGAGTTCTTGGAATCGTCCACTCTAATCATTTCAGTCAAAAATCCAATTTTTAGAAGATGCTGATTATAAAGTTGAGTTCTTGGAATCGTCCACTCTTATGTAATCAGTCAAAATCCAATTTTTAGGAGATGTTGATTAAAAAGTTGAGTTTTTGAGTCGTTTAGTACATTGTGGTTATAAAGATGTTAACTGAGATAGTCTTGAATCTATCTATCCTCTTGTGCTTGTTGCTTTGTATCTTGTCTAGAGACATATGTGTAACGAATGAGAATGTTTTGGATTCTCAGTTTCAGTAGATCCTTCGAGTGAGATGAGTAATTCCAATTACTTCCCACCGGATGTGACATTCTTTGTGCAAGGCAGACCAATTGAAGCACACAGGGTTATCTTAAGTGCTCGATCTCCGTTCTTCAAGCAAAAGTTTGAGAATGAATGGAAAGACCGGAGAGAAGTTAGGTTCTCGAAAGAGAAGCTTTCTTATCCTGCTTTGCGTAGCCTCATCCACTTCTTCTACTCAGATAGGCTGGAAACATCGGTTGATGATATGGAAGACCTCGTGAGGATCTGCAAAGTTTGTAAATGTGAATCGTTGCAGAAGATCATTGAGAAGGAACTGGTTCACCAGAGATATGCAGAGTACAAGACGCATAGAGATCTTGATAACTCCATGAAACGGTTTATCTTACAGGGGATATCTCTTCCAGAGGAAGACAGGCTTCCTGCTTCACTGCGCAGGATTCTTCGAGCTTCCCTTGCGAAATCTTTTGCAGATAATGGCGATGATATGAGAGTCAGTGATTCTGTGGAGAATCTTGCTGATGTTTGTGTTAAAGTTGATAAAAGGACATTCTTTTGCCATCAAGTGATTCTAGCTTCGAGATCAGAGTACTTCAGAGCACGATTGTCCCGTGTGAACGATTTCCATGAAGGGAGAAATAGCTTGCCTGGTGGTAGTCTTCCGTTTCTTGAAGAACATGATTTGAGCGCAGAGGCTTTCGAGAAGATGATTGAGTATATGTAAGCATTCATGACTGTAAAAAAAATATGTATTTTTGGCAAAGTAAGCTAACTCGGTAAGCATTGTCAGGTACACTGATGGCTTGAAGGAGATCAATCCAAATCAGGTGAAAACTTCTTTGCCACTTAGAAACTTTTTCTCTGTATTTTACTTTCTGATAATGTGCTGGTTTTGCAGGCTGAGGAGATCTTTGACGTTGCATCTCGCTACTTACTGTTTCCTCTTAAACGTGCTGTTGCTGACGCCTTGTTGCCTCACTTGGAAACTGCCACACTTGCAGAGATCTGTCAGTGGCTTGTTTTGTCAGATATGTAATCCTCTTTCTTCTTATCCAATCCCATTTTTCTAAAATTTGTGTTGAGCAGGATAGGTATATGACTATATTAAAGTTTGTTCACTGTCTCTAAGTCTATAGTTTCATGCATGAAGCTCGTTTCATGGATGATATATGAGCTGAGAGGTTGAGTTTTTGAATTTGAATGGTACAGGTACGGCGTGTTGAAGATAAGAGAGTACTGCCTAGACTTGGTTGCTTGTAATTTCGAGGCATTTGTTGAAACCCGCGAGTTCAGGGCAATGCTATTGACATTGCCTCCACCATCAGGGGACTCTTCGCTGCGAACCACTGTTCCAAGTGCACCGGGTGCAATGATGACCACAGACCAAGGGAATCTGCTCGATGATCTGAGAGAGAAGTGGCTTGAAGCAGAGGCTTTAGAGCTTGACATGAGAGACGAGAGTGCTTTGGTTTTCGATAAACGCCTCAGAATGCTCGTTGAAATGGCAGAGCAAGAGAAAGCTGAGTCAGAAGCTGAGGATGACAAAGACATTGGCGCATAAGTACTGAGTGTAAGGCAAGTTTTGAGTCTTCTTTCTTCTTTCTACTGTTTGCTCCTTTCTCATAACTTTATATAGAAAACTCTCAAATCTTTCTTCACACAAACGATGAATCATCCTATAGATGTTAATAATAGAATCTTTGTTCTCTTGTTTCAGTATATGCAGAGTTTTAGTCTATGATTTTTTATCTCTCATTTAAAAGACTTGAGTTGTTCAAAGAAACAATGACTGATACATGATTCAAGATTCTGCAATGGCCCTAAAAAAACTTGTTTTCCTTATACATTTTGGGCATCTGATCCATCGTCTGTGGACAAAGTAGAGAGATCTTCTGTCAACGAGCAGTCATCAGAGACTATAGACTCAGTGTCTGACTGTTGGTGCTGGAGGCTCCAGTTCATGATACTAGCAGCCAATATAAGCATCATCTTCTGGTTCACCTGTTATCATTGTTTTACATAAACATACGTATTAATGCTAAAAAGATCAGAAAAAGACTGCGCAAATGAAGCTATCTGATGTGTATCTACCTCTATAATATCCTCAGGCAACAAGAAAATAGAGCATCCAAGCTTCCTTGCAACACTTATGATGTATGTTGCATTCAACACCATTTCCTCCTCTGTTTCAAATTGCCAATAACAACACTCAAAATCCTTATAACAACTTACAGAGACACACAAAGTCATATAGTAGTATCATTATTGTTGTTACCTGTTTCTCCTCTGGTTACAAGACTCCAGTTTACAACTCTTGGCTCTACAGAAGTCAAAAGCTCCAAAAAGAATATTCCATTTGATAGATTCATGTCCTAAACAAGTAACCATCCAAACTTGTTAGGTTTAATGAGAAAGATGTGTAGTTTCCATGAAGTTTGACCACTTTCTTTTTACCTTGAAGCTCTTAGCTTGAGAGGATCGACCCATTTTCTTGACTTTCCTGTTTGCCCAGCTTAGAATATCTGCCTCTGTGATTTCTTCACCTTGCCAGTGAGATCTCAAGTTCTTCAGAATTTGGAGCATTGTGTATCTCATAAACTGCCACAAGAAAGCTGTGCACACAAACATTGTCATCAAGATTCAACTAAAAAAATCACAACAATAACAACATTTTTTTCCTGCAGAAGTACTCTCTCACCGAGAAGAAGCTTCTTGTTTCCTTGCACAATGTCACTACCATCTATATTGACAAGCGTAAACCGCAGTTCTTTACCAATCTTGATAGCTTGGTTGCAATTCTCAATCTTCTTGAATGGCATCTTGATAGGAGGTTTATACGCGTGTTTCCAATTAACCGAGCCTGGTGATACTTTGTCAAGAACTTCAAGAAGAACCCATCTGAGGCATGTCATGAGGAGAGTTTAGATTCCAAGCCAATCAAACTAAAAAAAAAAAAAAAAAAAAAAAAAAAAAAAACACTATGCAATGCTCTCACCCATTTCTAAGATCCTCAAAAACATTATCCACATAAGTAACAGCACCAAGACTGTTAATCCAGAGGCGAAAACATCGTTCTTCCCGAGAAGTTTCTTCATCTTCTGTGATCATTTCAGCATAAGAGACAGGCGTCTTCAAACTCTCATCAGACAATCCATTCCTACAACAGAGATCACACATAAAAACAGACTAGGTTAAGTCGAAGAAATAGATAATAGAACTATGATCAAGCTTTCTTGCTAGTGACCTTTGGTGAAACAGTTGTGCTACAAATGCAAGATTAAGATTTGCAGAGCCTTCCACTATATCTTCAAAAGAAAGGTGTCTTTTACAGTCTAGCTTCTCTGCTTGCTCAAGGACTTTCTTCGCTCTCTCTGATGGGTCTTTGCTCTCTAAAGCCACTTGTGTACTGTGTTCTGGAGCAATGGCATTTAGCAGATATGAATACGCCTCTCCATCCTTGCCAACACAGAAAGATACATTTGCTCAACAAACAAGAAGAAGAAGAAGAAGAAACAAGCATAGCAGAGACAAGTTATACCTTAACATCAGAAGAGAAGTTAGTGACTTCTTTCTCATAACCAGCTTTCTTAAGATGAAAGTTCATCCATTTTAGCAAAATCTTTTCAGGAGCTAGTCCCATAAGCTCTTCCACATCCTGCAAAAAGCATAGCTTTAGCCTCAAGTTACACTTTTTAAAACTTGTAGAAAAGGTTCAAAGCTATAGACTTTTTACCTGGTTTTCTTCCACCAACTCAGCAAGTTGTGGAGTTTTCTTGAGATTGAGATCAGCCAACAATTGGACCTAATTGTTTCCCCCCAAACAAAACACATATTTTAGTAACCATGTCTCATTATCTTATGCTAAAAGTAATGTAAAGTTACTACCTTTATAATCTGAAAGATCAATCCAAGTACGAGATGCGGCTACAAAGACAAGCAGCAAGACTTAGAAAAAACAGAGGATGAAACAGAGCAAAAGAAGAGAAAGAAACTCTCTTTTTAGTACTCACTGTTCCTTCAGTAATATCTTGAGTTCCAATGTTAACCAAACTGCATCCAATTGCTTTTGCAGAGTTGAGACAGAGTGAGAGGTTCTCAGTTTTCTCCCATGGATTTAGCTCGCTCTTCGTGTTGATCGCTCTCTCGTCTATAGTCCCAGGTACAGCTACATTTATAAGCTTACTGTGAAAAAACAAAAAAAAAAGGAACAAGAACTTAGAAGAAAGAATCACAACCACTTAAAAGATTACATATTAGTTAAAAAGAGTTTAATTTGTGGTTATGTATACCACAAAAGAACACCATCTTTAACAAGATCAAACAGAGCATTTGTAGCAGGATTGATTGGAAGATATCTTTTCAAGAGAGGATCTTCTCTTAAATAGTTGTTGATATGAGAAACATAAAAAGCTCTCTCGGATTCGTTGATTGCATGGTGAAACGTTGTAGTACTTGTCTTGAGAAACGATGATGACCCTTTTGATCCTCCTCCTTCTCCTCTGGATTGCACTTTTAAAAAGGCCTGCCACAAGTTGTTATGATTAGTCCCTTATTTACTACATTTTGTCAATTGGTATATAAAAAGATTTTCAAACTCACTCGGAGGAAGGTTTCGAAATCAACTTCCTTGTTGATATTGGGATAAGACTCATGCAATATGGTTTTGATCTTTTTCTCGTCGAATGTGCCACTGAAATGTTTCAACTTTGCAAAAACCGGTGGTAAATTCCTCACGGTGAAACGGCCAAACCGAGTTTTTGTCGAAACAAACTAATTAAAAAGAGGTAAATTTGTTAGATGCTACAAAAGTGTGAAGTGATGTGTGATGAAATGAAGAGAGGGAGAGAGAGAGAGAGAGAGAGAGACCCTGGATTGAAGATTGCGAAGCTCCACTTGTGTGAACTGGCTTTGAAGCCATGGATCAGAGACAAGAACACCAACGTAACTAGACATCTCCTCTTTCACGTTTCAATCCAAACAAGTGAGTTGTGTTGTTAAACTAAACAGCAGAATGTTATTTAGAGAAGATGAGATTGAATATGATGAGTCTTGTCTAAATCTACTTGACAGAAGATTCTTGCTGATCAGAGAGCAACGAGATCTCCTTGAAATGAAATCAAACATAGGCGGGAGAGATAGGAAAGTGATTTTATTTTCTTAAGTTTACCATATCATTTTTTGTAATCTTAAATGGTAATTTTTAACTGTGATGACTATTTTTAGAGAAAGATAGTGATTTCAATGGGTTTTTTTTATAGAAAAATTAATTTGTAAGATTTTGAATATCTATAGGATTTAATGATTTGATATTTTTATCCAAATAATGGATATTTTATTAATTTATATAGATTTGAATATAGATTTGAATAAAACTTTATCAATATTTAAGGAATTACCATTTATTGTGTTTTTCTTTATCACCTAACTTCCAACAAAAATTAAACATTGCCACATACTTATGTTTAGACACCCTTCCTAACATATAGACACCTAACATTTAGACTCCTTAAATCACTTAAAACTCCTTCTAAAACACAAGTTTTTGGAATTTAATTTTTTTGGGGTGATAATTTTTGAGAGCCAGACATTAAAAAAAAAAAAATGGTAACTAAGCTAGAGAATATGTTCCTTTGGCTTTTCTCAAGATACTTTCACTTATACTTAAGCTCTTTTTTGTTTTTATTTACATTTTCGATATATACTTTAGCTCTTAATCTCACACTTGTATTGTATCTTATACAAGAAACCAAACAATAAGCCTATTCAAGACCATACTAGTTGGACTCTAGTTACTAACCTTGAACCTATTTGTGAATAATAGCCCATCAAAGCTTCAAAAGAATATAGGCTATGGCCCAAACAACGACAAAATATAGGGATTTGTAGAAGAGTGTGTATTGGGAACAATTTAATGCTAAGGTGTGCATCGACGGTGGATCTCCAAACTCTCGGGGACATCTTAAGGCATAAATACATAATATTATTTCGAGTGGCTGCAATAGAGAAGGATTTAGGATTGAAACAAGATAAGCGTGAGCACTTCATTTCCTATTTACTTCCTTCTGTTACCCTCTCCTCGCTTGGATTTACATTTTTAAGAGTTTTTTAATCTTTAAATTTTTTTTTTTTTTTTTTTTGTCAACAGCCTAAATTCCTATACCGGTCCGGGAAGCGGAATCGGGGGAACTGAGTTTATGTAATACACATCATGGGGCTGAGCTCGAGCACTCCGTGCTAGCTTGTCTGCCCTTGTGTTCTTCGTTCTGGGAATGTATGTGAGGGAGAACGCCTGGAACATCCCTCTACAATGCTCCACTTCTTCAAGCAAGATCGCAAAAGCTGGCCACTCGGCAGGTTTGGACACCATCTTCACCAACTGAGCGCTATCTGTTTGGAAATTCATCCGTCGTTTGTTATGGACTAGCATACTTTGCATAGCCCAAACCAATGCCTCCAATTCTGTTTGAAGAGGAGATAAACCCCGCCGTAGGTTGCTAGACCCCATCAGGACAGAGCCCGAATCCGGGTCAAAATTGTACCATCCAAGTCCAGCCCGACTGTCTGTCACTTTCCACGCTCCATCAATCTGACACCACTCTCCCGGTGGGACGTGGCCGGAGTTGATGGAGATACTATTGGATACTCCGTCTGCTACCGTTTGTGCTGCTACCCATGCCCGGGATTCCGTTATCGCAGATTCCATTACTTCCTGCGGATTTTGATCATCATTTGAGAAAACTTTGTAATTACGAGCTTTCCAAATAAACCAGAGTAACCATGGATACATCAACATGTCATCATTGTCTGGGAGGTTCCAGAATAGATGTGCCATATTTGAGTACAGTGCTCCCGTAGGAAAAAACTGGGGAGGCGTAGGTATGGGAGAGAGTGCCCAGGCCTGTCGGGCCGGGGGACACTCAAAGAGCATATGATTGATAGTCTCATCTCCCATACCACATCTCACGCACAGTGGGTCCACACGCATTCCCCGACTACATAAACGTGCGCCAACCGATAAACATCCGGTAATAATTTGCCAGAGAAAATGTTGGAGTTTTGTGGTGCATTTTTTAATCTCTAAATTTTAAAAGATCAAAACATGTGATATTTATTACTAACAATGTTTTGCCTCCACTTAATGAGGACTGGCCTACTACTTGGTGGGGATCGAAAAAGATACGATGCCGTTTAATGATGCATTATTAGCTGTCTTGTCCCAGGAGTGGACAGTATGGGTTAATGATTAAAAGTGGTGTTTGAGGGTTGGATGATTATCTCCTTCGTGGTCACTCACCTTCACCAACTTCCATTGAAAAAAGATAATCTTACGACTTGTCCGGCCGTAAATAACATTATCTGTAACAACAAGCCCAAGCTGTTCATACATTCTTGGACGGTGAGATATGGACATGATAATAATATTGACGTTCATGTCAATGCATGAATCTTCTACCGGGTCTATATTTGCATTATCTAAATCACGACATGAATTTTTTTTTTCTCTGCTTTTAGTTAAAAAATGAAAAAGGCTTTACAGATTACACTTAACAATGTAGCTTACGATTTTGTTCAAAACGGTTGTTGCGATTATAATTTTTTTTTATCAACCGTTGCGATTATAGTTAGAAAATAATTGTATTTATAATACTGTTATGAGACAATTATATGTTGGAATTGGAATGTGTGACACATTTTTTTAGTGTGGAATATCAATTCGTCAAAAATCGATAGTTGAGAATCTTTTAAATTTTGTATAACTAACACAATACCAATATATATTGTGAATACATAATCCTGTTTAATAATAAAACAAAAGGCTAACTAAACTTACAAACGTAGTCATTTTCAAATTTTCTTATTTCTCGTTACATACGTAAGAAAAACAAGGAGAAGTTTAATACTAGTAAAACTGAAAATCGGTAGTTAGAATAATATTTGGAAAAGGGTGTGAATAATATAATCGGGTATGTTTGTCGCTTATGTCGGTGAAAACCAAATTAGATTTTAAGACATAAAGAGTAGTTGTTCAAAAACAAAAACAAAAAAAGATTAAGACATAAAGTGATGTTAAATCCACAAATATCTGCATGGATTTGCAATTTCACCAAGAATCTATAACTAATGACAAAATAGTTAGCGGGTGGGAATTATAAATCTCCATAATTATGGTTTGTTATTTGGTCAAATTAGTGATTACATTTCTGGATATTATCGCTGTTGAGTACAAATGTAATGACGAAAAATGGTAAGTTCGTTATTTACAAATTACAATGGTTGGTAAACAACGTTCTCGCAATAACAACGTTTAGCAGTGTATCTATGGTCTAACAACTTCGTGGATTCGTGAAGTCCTTCTGGATTGGGTTAGTTCGGTTTAAGATCGCTTCGATTTTGGATCCAAATAATGTATGCAAACACTCAAACACAATAGAGAAGCACAAAATATCGAGGGGCATAAATAATAAGACCACAAAAATGGTGAAACGATATGATACCACTTACATCGATAGGTATGAATAAAAGTTACAGTGTGCATGCAAATATGACACATTATATGATTATAATAAATAAAGAAAAATTTAACTAAATACAGAGAAAACAAATGTGTAACGATGTCAAAAACAAAATAATATAAAAAGCGTGTACCATAAGGTTGGTAACAAGTCAAGATTAGAGAAGAAGATAAATACATATGTGGAAGGGGAATAGGCCGAATAGGGGATGATTAGGAAAGCTCACCATACTCCGATTTGCATTCTAAGTTTCTCCATATCTATTTTGGTTTTACTTACAAGTTACAATTCACCAATTAGGAAAAATTGTTTGCTAAAAGTGATCTTTTATTTTTGTCATGAGTGAGATGTACATGCGATTTAAATTTGATTTGTGCACCTACTCAACAAATAATTAAAAGTTAGGTTCTCTTTCGTATGCGTTTTTGAGAAATTCATGTAAAATTTTGTTGGCGGAAAATCTATTAGTTTAGAGTTAATACAAAAGAATTGGCGACAAAAAAACATATGCTATCGTTTTAAAATTATGAACATTCTGGACTATATAAGGGAAAACGGTCAAAACATATTACAATCCAAGTTCAATATTCCGTATTCAACTAAACGTAGAAATTCCCACGAAGTATCTCCAAGTAATTGTTTATATTACAATCCAAGTTAAATATTAGGTATGTGCTCACACACCTTTTGTAAGGATAATCTAGTTTTCATTATTACATAACTTATAATTCAGTTTACGGTTTGGTTTATGTTCAGGTTTTTTCGTTTTTTTTTAAATTTCGATTTTATAAGAACTTATATAAATTTTATAGTTTGATTTGGTTTTATTCGGTTTTTGGCTTTATCAAGTTTAAGACCACATAAACAAACAACATGTAATTCTGTTTGGTTTGCCTTTTTTTGTGAATTATTGTGATTCAAATTTTCATTCAAAATGTGTCATCACATCGATGTGGTTTAGTAAATGAACATAAACATATATTCTTCAATTTATTCCCTTGAATCTTTTTCACAATTTATATGCTTGCTTTGGTTGGGGGTTATAAAGCTTATCAAGTTATCATTAAAACATGTTTGTAATATTTAAAAGAAGCATTGTATAAGTTCTTGAACCTATTATAAGTTTGTAAACAAGAACAAAAGTTACCAACCAAGAAAATATCAAAGGTGAATAAAAACAAAATTATGGATAACGGCGTAACCAGCAGTAACACAAACGGTGCCGCAACAACACAGCCTGTCTTCTCTCTTTCCTTTGATATTAAAAAAAAAACTTTCTTTAAATACCTTCTCTTCTCTTCTTCCTCCTCTGCTCTCTCCATCTTCCAAGAAAGACTCTTCACACCGTATCATTATTTGCTCAGGTCAGCTCCTCTCTCCTCTCTCTTCCACTTTGGTTACAGTCAGAATCACAACAATGCCATTGAACTACTTCATCAAATGTTCTTTACACTTGTCTTAAACTTAACTCTCTGTTCTGTCTGATCCAGATCTAGTTCTCTCCTTTTTATGTCTTGTGTACTTAAGCTTCACTGTCTCAACGTTTGTTAGTGTGTCAATTCTTTAGTAATGTTAAAAGAAAAAAAGTTCAAGATCTGGTTAAACTAACACTTCTTTAGTTTGCTAGTCACAATCTGTGATTCGATTTAGACAATGTTTGGTTCTTGAAAACAGATCCGGATCTAAGAATGGATTTTCATGAGTTCTTGATTATCAAGATTCGATCTTTGTTAAATTTTGTGAAAATGCAGTGTGTGAGAGAGTCAAAGAAGCAATGGCAAAGATGCAATTATCAATCTTTATCGCAGTCACGCTTCTCTTCTTCTCTTCACCAACAACAACCGCCAAAACCGCAAGCCCTCCGGCTCCAATCCTGCCACCGACACCAGCTCCGGCACCGGCGCCAGACCACGTGAATCTCACCGAGCTCCTAAGCGTAGCCGGTCCGTTCCACACGTTCCTCGACTACCTTCTCTCGTCAGGAGTCATCGAAACGTTCCAAAACCAAGCCAACAACACAGAGGAAGGCATCACAATCTTCGTCCCCAAAGACGATGCTTTCAAGGCTCAGAAGAATCCTCCATTGTCGAACCTCACAAAGGATCAGCTCAAGCAGCTTCTTCTCTTCCACGCTATTCCTCATTACTACTCTCTCTCCGAATTCAAGAACTTGAGCCAATCCGGTCCGGTTAGCACATTTGCCGGTGGACAATACTCGTTGAAATTCACTGATGTTTCCGGTACGGTTCGGATTGATTCGCTGTGGACCAGGACTAAAGTCAGCAGCAGCGTTTTCTCGACCGATCCTGTTGCGGTTTACCAAGTTAACCGGGTTCTCTTACCGGAAGCGATCTTTGGTACTGATGTTCCTCCGATGCCTGCTCCGGCTCCGGCTCCTGTCGTTAGCTCACCTTCCGATTCGCCTTCTGCTGATTCCGAAGGTGTCGCTTCACCGAAATCTTCGCACAAGAACTCTGCAAAGAGCCTGGCTTTCGCGCCGATCGCTGTGGCGGTTTCCGGTTTAGTGGCGGCATTGTTCTTGTGAGAAGAAAGGGTTTTGATGAGTCTGTTCTAAGTTTTACACAATGTTGAAAGAGATTTGTATTATTTGTTTTACATCATTTCGAAATTTCCTTTTTTTGATTTTTGAACACCATTTTTTATATTTTATACAATTTTTATCAATTATTTACTTGTCATTTCATCAGTGTTTGTGTATTGAGATTCGTTTCTACTAATTTTTGTTTTTGTTCTTTGGTTGAATTTTGCTTCATTTGCAAGCTAAGATGATTGATAGATACCAATTAGAGCTTTTTTGTGACGTCATATGTTGGGATTAAATTCATAGCTATGATTAATTTTGGACCACTAAGAGTAGTAAACAGAGGAAGACTTCATGGTACAAGTCTCTTATAAATTTAGTTTCAAAGATATATATTATGACGTCATATATTGGGATAATGAAGTAAATATGGATATATAATTTTGGTCCACTCAGAGCAATAAACAGAGACAAAAAAATAAAATGGCGTCTCTGTTTTTCACAACACCGTCAACAAACGGCACGAGTGGTGGTGGAGACGCCGTTTATGTGGCGGCGGTGCCGCTCAAAGCGGCGGCTGGTCCACCGCAGCTTGTTATGTCGATGGCTTACTCACTGAATCTAAAGAATCTGCAGCATTTCATGGTCCTTATCAAACCATCTTCTCCAATTCGTCAAGAGGTTTTTCCATTATTGACTACTGTGTTTGTATAAATTCCTCAGCGAAAAATTTATGTGGCTAAAATCCGTTTTTTTTTGTGTGTGTGGATTTCTCCAGGTGATCGTGTTTGATTTCCAGCCTGTAAATCCAGAAAGCATAGAATCAGCAATCTTAATCTTATCAGGAAAATTGATTCCAGGTTCTGATTCTCAGACAGTCATATCGAATTGTAATCTATGATTCCGACAGCTTTTTCTTTCAACGAATCTTTGATCATGTAGATAAAAAGTAGGAATCTTTGCAACTGTAGTCAAGATTCTGACTGAAACTTTTTGGGTTTTGTAGGAGTAGTGATGCAAAGAAAGTTGAAGAATGTTCCAAGACAAAAATGTTGGATGGTTGGATCATCGAAAGAGAATGATGCAATGGAAATGGCAATTGAGTTTAATAAATCATGGGAGACTGATCTTAGAGTCGGCTTTCATGATTGCAGACACTATACCAATGGTAACTATTACGACAAGCTTTTTTATCAATAAGACTTTGGTTTTATATCAAACCTTAAGCTTTGGTTTGTTTTGTTTTATGTTTCGTTTTCACAGAACTTGTTCAACATCTTACTGGAGAAACACAGATCGTGGAGCGACTCTTAAGAAGCTACGACAGCTAATATCATATTTTTAGTAAATGACCCATGCGATTGTTGTTCATAGCATGTAATTGATTTTCCAATAGTGACAAGAATTTGAAACAAAACATTACATTTAGCATATGTTTCTGAGTCCACTTGAGGTGTGTTTGTGAATCTTGAATGTCATCTAAGACTGAAAGAAACTTGAGCGTAAATAAATTGAAACGATTTGGACAAATATTCAACCAAGAAAAGCGAGATAGACTGACTACTCCTAGTTAATAACAAAACTTTAACAATTTGTATCTTTTATGCTCACATATTTGCATTTAGTTAGTCTCATGATTCTCTCCAAGCAGAACGAGAAAGAATGGGGCCATGAGCTATAACGCAGACACAACATAAGAGTATTTTAAGTTGATTCCAGAGGTGAGTAACAAGTATGCCCATGTAATCTAAGATAAGTAGATAACTAAAATCAAGCAATTAACAAACGACACCGTAAAGATTAGGCTACTAATTTCCTTCTCTTTGGTTGATTTCGTTATATGCTTAGGCTACTTATTCTGGTTGTTTTTGTGGTTATATGATATTTTTGCTTGTGTTTTGGTGCTTTACTTTCTTTTACTATTTCCTTCTCCACTCCCACCGTTGCATCCACTATACTGTCCCTTAGATAAATAAGGTTAATTACTTCTCCCTATAATTCTGTTGACTATTCGTTTTTTTTCCTCATCTTCTTGTTACTAATAGTTTTTTGTGTTCTTTTATATCAGGGAGGAGAGATATTGAAAGAAGGTCATTGGGTTATTTTCAATGCTAACAATTTGCATCATCTTTGGGGCACGGTTTCGTTTCAAATTTTACTTGTAGATTTTAACATAATCCTAAATAAGAAAATACAAAAAATAAACTTAACTTTCAGTTAATGAAACATTACACTGAGTTGGCGTGATTGGAAAGTGCTCTGAGGGTTCTGCGGAGCAATAATTATTTCTAAAGCACTAGTGTTAAACCAATCATGCTTTGATTTCATTTTTTAAGTTCAGAGCCACAATTTTAAATATGGAAATATTTTGGCTCTGCAGAGCAGATTTTTCAGAGCACAAATTTAAGAGCTCTGAAAATTCTCTCTCTTCTTATTCTTTAATCTCACTCTCTATATTCCCTTTTTAATGTTTCTTTCTAATTTCTCTTTTATTTATTTTTAATGCTACATTTATGATATTTTATAATAAATTATTTATAATAAAACATTCTATAACACCATAATGTACAGCCACAGCAAAAACATCTACAGCCTAAATTCTACAGCAAAAAAATTCAAAGCTACAGACACAACCAATCAATTCTATGATTCATATGAAGTACACTGTACATTAGAAGAAGAAAAAAACGGAAACGAAAAGACGACAACAAGTTTTCTTTGATTTGATTTAAAGTGAAACATTACACCAGAAGAACAAGATTAGCCTATAAAAGTGGAACATGCCTTAAATCGTAAACCGAATGAAATAGAACGGCAAGGTAGTAGTAGACGTCATCTTTAATACCAGCCTCCATATATTACTTCATCTTTAATACCGGCGCTTATGGGCAAGAAAACCAGAAAGAAAAACAAAAGAATAAATAAATAAATCAAAGATGAAACAAGGTTGTAATCATCACAATCCGAGTTAATGATCTCTTTCCTGCTCGTTGCAATAACAGCATCCAGTGTTGCTGGTCAGAAGGAAGTAGTGCTTGATACCAACGGGAACCGAAAAGTAAAAGTGTCGTCCCAACTTCTCGTAGCTCTAGGTTTCCGTTGGAACCAAGCACTACTTCGTTTCTCACCAGCAACACGAGATGATGTTATTGCAACGAGCAAGAAAGAGATGTTTCATCTTTGATTTATTTTTTTATTTTGTTCTTCTTTCTGATTTTCTTGCGTTGTGTTGAGTTCCTTTAAGGCTAAAGGTTGCTAGGATATTTATAGAGATTAGGAAAATAATGGGGCTGATACTCTTTTCTTGTTATCTACTGGATATGTTTGACGTGCATGTTAAGCTTCGAAAGTTTTTTTTTATGTTTCTTCTTACAACCACGATCTGGATCTGGATCTCGCTTACGACTGGAACTTCGTCAACGGTACATTCATTACAATTAAATCCAGGACGTGGGAACACATGGTCTACAAGGCTAGTTACCTCCTTTTGTAGGTGTTTACATAAAGTGAAACGGAAGATTCGGTAGTCTCTTTTACATTTATGTAATCCAAGTTACTCCCTTTTATCATCAAACCAATAACAATGGATTATTAAAATTTTAAAAATTCTTTGAACTTCATCTCCCAATAACCCCCCTTTAAACATCCTAAACCCTTTTTGTTCTCCTGATCTGAACTTTCCCAAGGAATGGGGATCAAACTAGAAACACAAAGAGAGTGAAAAAACTGACCAACCACAGACTTCAGTTTAATCTTTCTACAAAGATCTTCCCTCGCTATAAAGATGCAAGCCTGAAGACATTCATCGATACAACAAATGACCAAGCTCTTTCCATATATACTACTATCGACGAAGTAACTTGGAGAAGAGACTTTAGATAACATTGGACAGCTCGGTGTTGAGACAGTCATGAGCTTAATCCACACCACGTC